TCAAGTGGGAGCGGAAAAGGAGTGGGGAGTAATGGACAGTGTTGCACAAGACCGAGTCAAAGTCATGGGGGTCTGGGGTCTGAGCCAACGGAGTTAAAATGGACTAACGGATTTAACTACATGCGTTCTCGCCAATACTCCATCCTAGCTCCATCACTAGAAAGGTTGCTTCGCAACCATGACCTTGCTTCATGTGAAAATTTTTTGATCATAGTCACGAGTAGTGCTTGCTGGTATATTAATATTTGCATTCTTGTTGCACGATCTCTGTCAGTTCACAACGCTTAGTAGTGAATGATGGAACTGAGTTAACTCAGAGTAGTTAACAGACACAAAAAAAAGAACAGAATGTTGAGTTGAATCACAAAAAGGACATCGGAAAACAATGAGATGTCTGGTCTAAGATTTAGTGGTGAAGTGTCAGGGATGTGTCCGGGGTAGAGGAGGCCTGGGTGAGACGCCTGACACTAGGAGCCTTGCGGGGTGTGGAGCGGGCATGTGTACTGGCGGGCCCAGCTCAGGAGGCAGTCCCTGGCCACTTAGACTGAAGTGGAAAAGGGTGTTATTATTATTAGAAGGGAATACTATGTTACTTACCTGAAGTGGAAAAGGGTGAGAAGAAGGCTACTTCTTCGGTTCCCACTTCAGGTATGTTTATATACATGCGGCTTAGGTCACATGACGGGTGCCACGTCATCCTCGCATACAGCCGTAGTCACCCGGGTGTCCCCGTGGGGGATCCCGAGGGCGTCTGCTGTGAACGCGCGAGCTGGACATAGCGGGGGTCGCCCAAGGCGCCCGGGCTGGGCGTGTCGTGAGCGCGCTGCAGGTGGGTCAATGGTACATTGATACAAGGAAAGGTCGTCTGTGTAGAATAAAGAGAAAATAAAGAGAAGGTGAGATAAGTAAAGAGAGAGTGGAATGGAGAAAGAAAGAAAGAAGAAGGGGGGAGGAGGTAGGGGAAGACTGGGTGGCGGGGTACCGGGTGAAGTGGGGCCGGGTGGGGCCGGGTCAGGCGGGTGTGCCCTGACATGAAGGTGGTTGGGACAAGTGATACATACCTTCTCACATTATTTCTGCCTTTTGGCATTTAATGGGAGAGAAAGATGGTCCAGAGAATTGCCGCTTGGAGGGAGAGCCACTCTCTGCATGGTCGCTGACAAGGGGGGGTCCCTCAGAACAATTATCTCCACACAAAAGTCGCTTTCTTCCCGGCATTACTTCCTATCAAATGACATGCCAGCATGAAAGAAACTTGGACAGTTGCTCCGGGAAGAGCAGTCGCATACTCCGTAGGGGGAATGACACCTTGGATCCCCTTGTGGTATGCATGTAATGGATTCGTTCACCACCTTCACTCCTTGAACATGTTATCTCAGATGTGGATATTATCAGCTCACACACCAAGCAGATTAACGGAGCAAACCTGATTCGTTGTTGCTACCATCATTGCATCCATTCAGATTGGGTAGTCCAATTTTTACTTCGCGAGTCAATGTATGGTGTGCTGGGCTCCATTGGAGGCATGGTTCGAGATTTTAGGAGTCAGAAGGTCCCACAGATCGCGAGGAAACCTGACTATGGGTAAGCAATGCCTGATTCTCGTTGGTCACAACCGAGTGAGGATGGAACGGAGGTCAAATGTCAAAACATGTGATGTGTTCATAGGAATTTGCAATAGTTACATATTTCCCACGGCAATTATGACCTGGCAATGACCTTGCAAGCAAGGTAAATACAGATTGTAGTCTAGCGTGAGAACATTTATTTACATTGCATAAGGCTTTGAATATCGGGATTTCCCGTCGAAAAGTCTGACTTGCATGGACCATGAGAGAGACTTGAGACCATTAAGTCAGACTCACGGACTTTGGTCTTTGGGACCATTTGGGACCAGGTCCATACAACACTGGTAATGGAAGGGAATTGTTATGTAGTGAAGATCAAAGAAAAAAAAAAGAGACCACATGGTAAAGAATGTAAAAGTAAAGCAAGGGGGACAAATAGACAAATATGTATAGTCGGCCAACACCGCAAAGCAGAAAGAAGAAAGAAAGGAAACGTGATGTGAGACACAAAAGAGGAAAGCGAATGACGTACAAAGCGTTACACAGAATGACCAAAAAGGAAATAACATCACGTAATTTCAGCGGTTTCAGTGTCAGAAATTTACTAATATCGGTACGTTGAGTGACTCTGGTGCAGAGTAACTGGTTGAGGAGCAATGCCCATGGGAAGCAGCATGAGAAATTTGAGTGGGTGTTTACTATAAATAAGGTCAAGGTATTTTGGCAAGTCCTGCGGGTGTGATCGATGGCAATGTTCAGCAAAGGGGGAGTCAAAAGCAGGTGTAATGGTGTGCGAAGGAAGGAGGTTTCGGATGTCGCAGCAGACGATACCGACAAAAATAATCAGGAAGAAAATGGGTACAATGTGTACTTCAACATTCCAGGCTGCGGCTTGGCACAAGGGAGAAACCTAAACTTCATGGTGTTCACCCCACATCTCCAGAGTACGTACAACAGTCCTGTTAATTACCAAACTCTTTATAACCTCCAAAAGAGAAAACTCGGACGCCAGGAACCCTCGGCGGCTAAGATCAGGATTTCTTCCGTAACGCTTCCAGTTCTGCATCCTTCTGTGCCAATCGACTTTGAAACGAAGGGATGACCCGCCTCCTCAGCGTGTCCATAAACCCCACAACGTCTCCCCATTCCACCTCAGAATCCTTGGAATCCCTGTAATATTGCCCTTCCCATTCGAAATGTTCATCGAAAGTAATTGCCTGTGTCGTGATCGTCGGTGCACGTCGAGCATCCCGGAACAAAGCACACAGATACGTTGCTACCTCGGAGCGATCCCGGACCCGAGATGGCGAGAAACCTAGTACAGAAAGTGGATGATTCGAAGGAAGGGGAGGGTCGTCGAAGGGGAATTGAACACCCGAGACGTCTGTATTGATGTACAGCGAAGCACGCCTAAGATGAGGGCATTCGTTCGCGATTGGCCGTATGGCTTCCAGTGTTAGACTTGGAGGGTCATGATTTCTATGGACATGTACCGGGAATAAACCCAATTCTTCAAGGTTGGGCATCTTAGAGCATAGATCCACCAAATCAGCATTGTTAATCCTCTCAATGCCTCCAGTGCAGACCAGCAGTTGGGTAAGATCAGGTGATAGAGGCAGTTTCAGTACAGGGAGATTGAAATAAGGGGTCAGGATGACCAATCCATGTAAGTCTTTACAAATTGTGACTATCTGGATTAACGACTGCTCTGTTGACGAATCAACCTCGGGGTCTGTCAGTAGCAGTCTGAGAAAACGCACGCCACTCAGAGGATAATACCCCAGAACGATTACTGCTAGCTGTGACGGGATAGCCATCTCGATAGTGTGAAGAGAGGGAAATGGAGTATCTAACGCGGGGGGGCCGAAATCATGCCAGGCCGAGTAGCGGAAGTCGAATCCCCGAGGGGAGGGTGAGCGGACCTCCTTTACGTTGGGGAGTTGGGCAATGCAAGTCCATACGGTCGGGGTTAAAAGGATTCCCCCGGTTGCAGTCAAGGAAACAATGTTAACCAGCGGCTTCAATGCGTTCACAAAGCACTCGTTGAGGGCTTCACGAAATCCTGAAGTTTCGCCGATGTACAGACTGAGGGATGTCAAGGAGGCACTGTGGTGACAAAGCGATCGAATGAGTGGGAGACAGGTTGCATCCGGAGGGCCACGGAAGGATAATGAGATCTTTGGAGAGCGCACAGCAAGCCAAATCCCAGCGCTTCTGATCGCCCGTGATCCATAGAGATAGCAATCCAAAGAAATGAGATGCGAGAAAAGATGTGGATGCAAAAACTGCACTGCCAGGGTAAACTCGTCCATCAGTTCGGGATGGATGTGATTGGACCAGTCCCCGATAACGACAGTAATGGATTGAACAAATTTTGCATAAAATTGGATTCTTGGTAGTGCCTCAAGATCCATTACCGTAGACAGCCTCTAAACATCAACGTAGATACTATTCATACTCACCCATAGAAAATATCATCACGAGACACTCACATAAAAAAGGGAGTCAGCGTTGTCGACGCTCCCTAGTAGCCGAAGGAGAGGCACTGGAGTGTCAAGTACTCGCCACAAGCGTCGCAGAGCCGGGATCATCCATAATTTGCAAGTTCGTGCTGCTGACGCCAGAGTTGCGTTAGAGCAGCAGTCGAACAAAACCGTCAAGATGTCCAAGATCTGCAATGGTCGAGGCATCACACCCGTTTGGCCTTTCGCGAATGTGGTGTTGGTGCGTCTCATATGCGGCATTCTTTAGTGATTTGGATCCAAGGTTCACCCTAAAGGGGTGCTGGGGTTGTGTTCACTGGACCGTAGCCTCAAGGCTCATCCTTTGGGGACGAGAGGGCTCCACCACCCGGAAGCTTAGGCAGGTTATAACCCCGACGACAACACACCCGTATCCTCATGTACCCACTAGGCACCCGGATGGGATAGCCGCACTGCCACGTGATAACGAGGCCGCGGGGGATTCTCCTCCTTAGGCAGGTTACCAGGTATGCGAAGCTCCACTTCTTTGATCTCATTCATTTTGTTAGGAGTGTTGACATTATAGGTATTCACATGCGCACTGGTATGCCCGTGGGAAGCAGCACGAGAAGTTTGTGTGTTTACTGTAAATGGGGCTGAGGCGATGTTAGGCAAAGGGGGAACCAAAAGCAGGTGTAATGGTGTGTGAAGGAGGGGTGTTTCGGATGTCCGATACCAACAAAAAAATCGCACAGTGGGGAGAAAATGGGTACAACGTGTACTTGAACATTCCAGGCTCCGGCTTGGCGAAATAAATCCGAAGGAGAAACCTAAAAACTTCATGGTGTTCACCCCGCATCTCCAGAGTACGTGCAACAGTCCTGTTAATCACCAAACTCTTTATAGCCTCCAAAAGAAAGAACTCGGACGCCAGAAACCCACTTCATTATCCCTCCCCGGGCGGCTAAGATCAGGATTTCTTCCGTAACGCCTCCAATTCTGCACCCATCTGTTCCAATCGACTCCGGAAACAAGGGATGACTCGCCTCCTGAGCTTATCCATAAACTCCGAAACGCACTTCCATTCCTCCTCAGGATCGTGATGATGCGGCCCTCCCCAACTGAAATGTTGTTGGAAACTAACTCTTGGTGCCATGATCGTCGGTGCACGTCGAGCGTCCGGGAACACAGTACACAGATACGCTGCCACCTCGGAGCGATTCCGGACTGGGGAGGGCGCGAAGCATAGCGTAGAAAGTGGATGATTCGAAGGAAAAGGAGGATCGTCGAAGGAAAATTGAATACCCGAGACATCCGTATTAATATACAACGAAGCGCGCTCGAGACGAGGGCATACGCCCGCAATTGACCGTATGACTTCCAGCGTTAGTCCCGGAGGATCATCATTTCTATCGACCTCTACCGGGATTAAACCCAATTCTTCAAGGTTGGGCATCTTGGAGCATAGATCTACCAATTCAGCATTGGTAATCGTCTCAACGTCATTGGTGCAGACCATCAAATAAGTGAGATTAGGCGATAGAGGCAGTTTCAGCACAGGGAGGCTGAAATCAGGGGCTACGAGGAGCAATTCATGTAAGCCTTTACATATTGTGACTATTTGGATTAGCGACTGCTCTGTTGGTAGATCGTTCTCGTCGTCCGTCAGTAGCAGTCTGAGAAAACGTACGCCATCTAAGGGATAATACCCTAGAACAATTACCGCTAACTGAGACGGGACGGCCATCTCGATAGTGTGAAGAGATGGGAATGGAGTATCGAATGTGGAGGGTTCGAGACTATGCCAGGTCGAGGGATCGGGTGCGTCGGCGCCGGATTCCTCCTCGACGAACTTTGGTGAGTGGACTTCCTTTAAGTTGGGGAGTTGGGCAATGCAAGTCCATACGGTTGAGGTAAAAAGAATGCACTGGTCTGCAGTCAAGCAAGCGAGGTTGACCAGCGGCTTCAATGAGCTCACAAAGCATTCTTCGACGGCACCATTAGGTCGTGAGATCATGTCGATGTGCAGACTGAGGGATGTCAAGGAGGCGCCGTGATGGATGAGCGACCGAATGACTGAAGGACATTGAGAGTCAAGGAAAGAGAGTGAGATCTTGGGAGGGCATGTGGCAAGCCAAGCGCAAGCAATCCGGATTGCCTGTGGCCCATTAGAGTAGCAATCCGAAGAGGTGAGATCCAAAGAGGTGAGATGCGGGAAAAGATGTGGATGCAAAAACTGCACCACCTGGGTAAACTCGCTCAGCAGCTTGAGATGAATGTCGCTACGGCGGCTAATACGAACGGAGATACACTGAACAAATTGTGCATAAAATTGGACTCTTGGTAGTGCGTCCAAATCCATACTCTACACATCAAAGTAGTTAGCGTTCATATTCACTCATGGCAATAGTACCACGAAACACTCACATTGGAAACATACCTACGGGTATCCCACCGATCAGTCTTCCCTAGCAGCAGAAGGAGAGGCAATGGAGTATCAAGCACTCGCCACAAGCGTTGCAGAGCCGGGATCCACCACAATTTACAAGTTTGCGCCGCTGACGCCAGAGTTGTATTAGGACAGCAATCAAACAGCACAGCCAAAATGTTCAAGAGCTGTAAGGCTCGGGGCATTGCGGGCGTTTGGCCCTCCAACGCAATGTTGTGGGGGTTGTCCATCCTGATGTAGTAGTTGGGGCATACACTCTATCTTGCGGGGGGCTCGACTCAAAACTTGATCAGAACTAGTACTTCAACCCTTCCGCCGCACATGGTAGCAAACTTGTAGGCAGGTTACCAGCCTCTATTGGAATAGAGCAAACTTGCCTAGGCGATCGCAATTCAGAAACGTGAACTCCACCTTCCTAATCCTGATTCTCGCTGACTCCGTAAGCGGGTCCCGTGCGCCGTGCAAGAGGAGGTTCCAATGCTTCCCCTAGGCAAGTTCGGCTGAAAATAAGGATGGACCTGGTAACCTCCACTTTCGCGACCGCCCACGTGTGACGGTTCAGCCGTCAACCCCAACCAACCAAACAAAACAACCAGAAACAACCCAACCCCCAACCAACGCTCCTGCACGATTTCTGTTCTCACTTCTGCCCATGTAGCTCTTGTTTTAGTCCTCATCATATAAGACGATAACCGGCACCTGAAGACGGACTCTTCAGCTGGTCAACACAGGTCACCTGCTTATTCTCATTCCTTTCTCGACTTCTTCTTGCTCGAGTTCTTGTCCGCGTTGCGTCTTGCTCCGGTTCTCACACCTAAGCGCTGCAGGCCCTTGACAGTTTGACCAGCTCACCAACAACAATCCTTCCGGAGACCAGTCTTCCTGTCTTTCATGGATCCCCCGCAACCTCCATTCGTTTCTGCACCTGATGTCCCTTGGCCTGACACCACTCCTGGCGCTTATCTGACTCTGCCCACTCCAGATCTTGCTGAATATGCCGCAACAGCAATAGTGCAATGCCAAGTCTCGATGGCCGCCTTTCAAACCCATCTTCAAGTCCCTCTGTTCCCGCTCTCGTCCCCGCTCTCGTCCCCTCTCCTGTTCTCAGTTCCCGCTCCAGTTTCCCGCTCCAGTTTCCCGCTCCATTTCCAGTTCTCGCAAGTTTTCCGGCCCACTTAGCACCGGTGGTTGAGACAATGGGATCGCTGCCAAGTGGGTTATTGGGGCGACTCATTCTGAACCCTCGCTGTTACAAATCTTAACGTCGTATTTGGAAAGCACCTTGGAGGTTTCGATTATGTTGAGTTAGCACATCGGAAACCTCGCGCTCTCAGGCACAGTTATCAGAGAGGCTGCCGACTATGCTGCCAAGCTAGTTCGAACGCTGTCGAAGCTGATTGCAAGCACTATTTTAGATCAATTATGTTGACGGACTGCACAATACGATCTGGGCTTATTTAATTATTAACGTACCCAATGATCGGTTATAACTCTGCTAGCTCAGACTTGACACACCCTGTCGGCTCGCGCATTCTCCTTATTCCAATCTCACGATTCTCACACTATGGCTTCCTTCCGATTCAACCTCCCAACCATGCAGGTTGGACCTTCATGTGTACCTTTATGGTTTATATTTTGCCTCGTTAACGAACGACGATGGCACGTTTACGTTTAATTCATCATATTCTGTATGCCCCCTGCGTTCAAGAGTGTAGTCACCAAAACAACCGCCTTAGGTCTACAATAACAAGATTCCAATTCTGCTATTTCAGCCCATTCCATTGACTGCATGCGCAAACACAAGCTCCCGGATTGATGAATATCTCCGATTCGTTTTTGATTCCCACCTGATGGTTCAGATGCTTGTTTGTACCGCTAAGACTTTAATAAAGACCGAAGGTGGGAAGAGTAGCGGGCTTCCACTAGTGACTTAGTGATTTGGAACCAAGGTAGACCCGAAAGGGGTACTGGACACCGTGACACAATCTTCAAGAGGACCTTGTGTAGCGGAGTTAGGTGTACGTATTCACCTACCCATTTCTTCGCAGTCTTTTTGGTGGAAGTGTCAACAAAATATGGTAGGATAATATTGTAGGTATTCACATACATCCACTGGTTGTGGGAGAATACTTTGGCAAGTTCTGCGCGCGGGTGTGATCGATGAGTTACCGAGCTCGCGAGGCAATGTTGGGAAAAGGGGAGGCAAAATCAGGCGTAACAAGAATGATCACACAGTGAGAAAGAAAATGGGCATGAGCATTTCGGGCTCCAGCTTAGCGAAATAAATAAGAAGGAGAAACTTAAAAGCTTCATGGTGTTTCACCCCGCACTCCAAGAGTACCCACCACCATCAACTCCTGTTAAAACTCTTTATGGCCACCAAAAAAAGAACTCGGACATCAGGAACCGCGCTTCATTACACCTTCCCCGGCGGTGGAGACTAGGGTTTCTTCCGTAACGCCTCCAATTCTGTATCCTTCTGTTCCAATCGACTCCGGAAAAAAGGGACGACTCGCCTCCTGAGCGTATCCATAAACTCCTTGACACACTCCCATTCCCATTCCTCCTCAGGATCCTCAGGAGCATCATGATACGGCCCATCCCAATTGAAATACTGAACAAAACTGACTCTTGGTGCCATGATCGTCGGTGAACGTCGAGCGTCCGGGAACACAGTGTACAGATACGTTGCCACCTCGGAGCGATTCCGGACTGAGGATGGCACGAAGGATAGCGTAGAAAGTGGATGATTCGAAGGAAAAGGAGGGTCGTCGAAGGAGAATTGAATACCCGAGACGTCCGTATTAATATACAACGAAGCGCGCTCGAGACGAGGGCATACGCCCGCAATTGACCGTATGACTTCCAGCGTTAGTCCCGGAGGATCATCATTTCTGTCGACCTCTACCGGGATTAAACCCAATTCTTCAAGGTTGGGCATCTTAGAGCATAGATATACCACATCAGCATTGGTAATCGTCTCGACGTCATTGGTGCAGACCGTCAAATGAGTGAGATTAGGCGATAGAGGCAGTTTCAGCACAGGGAGGCTAAAACCAGGGGCTATGAGAAGCAATCCATGCAAGCCTTTACATAGTGTGACTATTTGGATCAGCGACTGCTCTGTTGGCGGATCGTTCTCGTCGTCCGTCAGTAGCAGTCTGAGAAAACGTACGCCATCTAAGGGATAATACCCTAGAACGATTGCCGCTAACTGAGACGGGACGGCCATCTCGATAGTGTGAAGGGATGGGAATGGAGTATCTAATGTGGAGGGTTCGAGACTATGCCAGGCTGAGGGATCGGGTGCGTCGGCGCCGGATTCCTCCTCGACGGATGGTGAGTGGACTTCCTCTAAGTTGGGGAGTTGGGCAATGCAAGTCCATACGGTTGGGATAAAAAGAATTTGCCAGTTTGCAGTCAAGGATACAAGGTTAACCAGCAGCTTCAATACGTCCAATAAACAGTCTTTGACGGCATCATAAGATCGTGAGATTTCGTCGATGTGCAGATTGAGGGACGTCAGGGAGGCGCCGTGATGATGGAGGAATTGAATGACTGGAAGGCAGGTGGCTCCCGGACAATTAAGGATAGAGAGTGAGATCTTGGGAGAGCATATCCCAAGCCAAGCGCAGGCACTCCGAGTTTCCTTTGGTCCATCGAGGAGGCAATTCAAAGAAATGAGATGCGGGAGAAGACGTGGATACAAAATCCGGGTAAACTCGTTGATCATGGCACCATGGTATTTAAGATGAATGGTGAGAGACTGAACGAATTGTGCATAAAATTGGACCCTTAGCAGTTGCTGTAAATACGTGCTCTACACATCAAAGTAGATAGCGTTCATCTTCACCCATGGCAATAGTACCACGAAACACTCACAATGGAACACCTATCGACCTCCGGTAGCAGCTGAAGGAGAGGCGAAGGAGTATCAAGCACTCGCCACAAGCGTCGTAGAGCCGGGATCCACCACAATTTGCAAGTTTGTGCCGCTGAGGCCAGAGTTGTGTTAGGACAGCCATCAAACAGAACAGTCAAGATGTCCGAGTGCTGTAATGCTGGATGCATTGCGGCCGTTTGGCTAGCGTGGTGCGTCTCATCGATGGGGTTGTCCATCCTGATTGTAGTAGTCTGGATCTGGGGCATACACTCTAGCTATAGAGGTTGGTAGGCATGGAGAGCCCTTCAAAACTTGCAACTTGCCCTCTTCCGCCGAAAACCGTGCACATGGCAGCAAACCTCGATGATATCAATTCAGAAATTTGAATTACTCACTCCTTGGTTGGATAGAGGTTTGCTGATTTGGTGTAGAATATTGCACGTGAGTGGTGCGTCGCCCTGAACCATTCTGTGTCGGGATGATCCGCTTCCTATATAAAAATACCCATAATCATCGCACATTTATGTAGTTGGGACCGCGCGAACACGATCTTACTGGCAGCGATTCTGGACTTGGAAGATCAGGAGGATCATCAAGGGAAAAACCAAATTAAAAACATGAAATAACCATCAACATAAGTATCGCGAGACACCCGTTCACAACTGACCGTGTAACTCCTGCATGCAGTCAGTTCCGTGTTCAGTCCGATGGCGGGCGCGCTGGGGGGGACTGACCAAACAGCGACACTCGTGCAAGGCATATATGCATGAGGGAGTAGTCCAAAGAAAGAGGCGAACGAAAGAAACTGCACTTCCCGCGCGTTTCGAATGGCAACACGAACGTTTTGGTTTTACTCAATTTCCGCAAATTCAGAATCTCCGCCTTTGTTCCTCTTCCTTTTTTTATTCTACTCAGCCGGCAACCCGCCTGATTGACGCGACCTTCAGCGGGACCGCGAGCCCATCAGAGAATAAGGTTTTAGCTAGTAAATGATCCGCGCTTACATGCCTACAGTAATAAGTATGTAATTACATAGCATCACCGCAATCATGAATGAGATTTCGTGAACTGTGTTGCACTCCAGGTCTTACTTAGCAGTGTGATAGCAGAGTGGGCCGAATTCATTGTTGCCCTGTGTACCTGAGAGGAAAATGAGTACGAAAACGTCGCATTGCCTGTACATAAATTAGGTGATCGAGACCCATCTTGGCAACTTACCAAGCCATGTTTCTCATCAAAAAGTTGGCCGTTCCGATTCTAGCAAAAGAAATCCAAATGGAAGTCCCTGTGCATCAAAATCGCGCACATTTTGACGGCGAACCTCATTGTACCTTGAAACCCAGCGCAATATCAGTGCCCCATCGCACCCGCAAGCGGCAATCCATTTGCCTTGTCCGCTTCAGCACGGGGTGTTAGAACGGACTCGTAACCCAAATGTACTTATGCATGGCGCTGGCTTCAAAAACGTGAACACAAGTATCCAGAAAAATAGGAAGTTGCCCAGGTGGTCCCACTGGAAAGAAGGATTATCATCCCCTCCCCCTTCTGGAGGCTGCCTCAGTCATCTCTCAAAAATTTCCGAAGTTAATCCGTAACTTTGCTGCGCTTCGGTTTTACAGAGTTTGCTCATTTAGGCCAGCAGTTGAGCACGACGATCAACTAAGCTGATTGTCAGGAAGCTTTTAACCATCCGGACCAACATTCCTTTGCGGGATACATTACCGGTCATGCGTAGTATGCGGAGAAATGTTGGGCACAAGCAACCAGGTAGTGCCAGATACGTGTGAAGAAAAATTATATCGAGAAATGTATTTCAATTCAAATCTGTTGACACCTCAGCTGAGAATGATTGAGAAGCGAAGGGGAAGGAACAAAGCTGAGAGAGTACCATACTGTTGGCGATGCCAATACCCGCTCCCATCAATCAAATAACCCAACGAAAAAAAAAGTGCCGTAATCCCATTAAGTAACCCCGCACCAAAAGATCAACAGTTCAACGGCGAGGCCGCGACCGCTGTGAGCAACGCTTTCCGCTTCTGAGGATTACGGTACCGAAAGCAGTATTTAAGGTGGTTTTCCCTAGAGAGCCCTCAAACATCAGTCCTTTCCGATGACCCCCTTCGAGCATCTCAATGGTGGCTACTGGTATGGCATTGTCTCGATGTCCATGTAAGGTCAGAAGTTATCGTACAAGCTCGGTGTGCTCAGTCTCCCTATAGATTTCTCGGGATCACAACCGTTCAGTCGAGATTGTATTTTTTGAATTTTCCGAAAGATCCTATCGTGACGAAAGTCATGGTATGTTCCCCCCCCCCCCATGCATGATGCCGATTCCTGGCCCCTGACGATCGCTGCTCTATCCAGGTTCTAGTGCTATTGTGAGCAGGACTAACGTCGCCCAAGTTCAAAACCCTGACACCGTGTATAACCCCAGGCTGGCCCAGGTTTTCGGCCTGTATGTGTTTCCTCGGTATTCTTGTGCATCATTTTTTTTTACATGTAACACTCACCATTTAGCGGATGCTCTGTCGTTGCCCAGTACCGGATGGTTATTACTCACTCAGACTCAGCAGTAAAAGACTCATGGTGAGCAATATCCGAATGCTGTTTACAGTCGCTAGCTCTGACTTGGCTGTTCAGGTATAACGCGGTGGATACAGTGAGCACGGTACGTCCTATAGTTTCACCAGCGTCTACACCATCTTAGGTGGTGCAATCAGCTAGTGGCTTCTGTCTTGGTCCAAAATTTCTTCGCCTGGCGTATCAGTAAAAGTTTGTCACAGTTTTCTTTTTTTTTCCGGGATGGGTAGAGATCACTCATCTGCGTTATGCCCAGTGACCAAGATATGGTGGGCGGTGCCCGTCGTCATGCTTAGCTTACTTGACTTTGGTGAGTCACTTTTTTCACTTATCTCGACCACTGAAAACTAAACGGTCCCCCCATCATCGTTCTATACATATACAGCCTTCGGACTCGGTAAACCATTCTCCTCTTTTTCTTGAACCGCTGTTGCAAGTGCTGACCAACGACGTTCTGTATTTTAGGTGTGTATATTCGAGGGTAAGGTATGGAATTCCAGCCCAAAGGACAAGAAAATGACGTTGTTGGACTACGTGCTGCAAGGCAAATCCATGCAAACTCACTCGAGCTTCCCAAGTGGGACAGGAACTCCGTCATTGGTTGGGCTGCATCCCAAGTTCGTCCACATCGTCCTTTGCACAACTGGTGCGGAATACCTGAGAGAGAATGTGTCTCCCCGTAGGCCGCCACGGACACTCTGATTTCCGTAATAATGATTGTCCAGTTGCGTCGCAATCGAACCGGATTCCCGAGGTATGAACTATTTTCCGAACCATGTTGGAACGCAGGCCTGGATGGATCTTGCTATAATGTAGGACGGATAGAGCCATCTCAATCCTGATCAGATATGCTATTCATAGCGGTGCAGCTACTAGGTCAGCTGGCCCATTCAGCACGTTTTGGATGAGAAAATTCAGGATTTTTTGTTTTCTCAATATGTAGTGTTCTCGCCATGACGGTTCTATTCCCGGTTAGTATATTGACCCGCTCATGATTGGGAAAAAAAAAATCTCATTTCAATTCAGTATATCTTCTATGGGATGCACTTCCTCCATATGGCGTCTGTGGCGGTTAGTTTGGGAATTTTATGTTATGTTACCCATATCATCCGTGGTTCACCTTCATGGTTTAGGCGTTGGGCGGTGTATACACCATCACTCTCTGGCCAAGCAAGTCTCACATTCGCCGAATATCACATACAAGCTCATCGCTAACTTTTCCACATCGTCCTTCAGCTTGCATGCTCGCAGTCACGTCCGGCAATACCTATTACCAACCAAAGACGCTGGACAGTCGATTCACTTATCCAAAGTACCAGCTCGGGTATGTTTTCTCGTGTGTAGTCCGTCGACCTCGTCGATCTGCTCATGCCATCCCATAGGTAAAGGAACGGGTCCTAAATGCTATACCCGCTTTGCGAAGTTTTAATAAGAGTTCGGGGGGTACGTGTGAGCTATTCGTGTGACGGCAAAGTTTGACATGCATCTCCTCGCCCTCGCCTAGCGCCAACCTCAGCTGCAGCTGACTCAGTCGTTTAAGTTCATAATCGGCATCTGAAGAGTCCTATCATTTCGTGTTGTATAAATACATAGCCTCTTCGACACTGCATGAAGACTGAGTGCCTGACGTCACTATTGGTATGATGGTAAAGGGCCCAGAGTGTGTCATCGAACAGTGCGTCCGGGCACCCGGGACGTGAGCAATCAGGACAGAGACCAAAATGCCCTTGGTGGCGGGCTCAAGCTAGATGTTTTCCCATGCTGACCGGATAAGACCAATAGATTGCCACCGCGAGCGTGATGAGGTGCTACTCTGTCACCTTCTGGGATTTTGATGCCGTTGCTGTACGAATTACATTGCATTTGGTCAATATCGGGGTAGTGGTGAAACGGAAACGCTCATAGGCAAGCCTCCAAAGTGGAAGCATAGCACTCGACGCGGAAAATATCCATGATTGTCTTTCGTTGATCGCCGCAGTAAAATTCAGCAATGCAGAAATGAGCCGTCGTTTGCGGGAGGAATCATTTGGTGCGCTGGACAGGAGCAAGACGCAAATTGGAGTTAAGAACAAAACTATAAACTGTGAACGAATGGGAGTGTGAGGAACATGAGAAAGGGAAAGGCGAGCCGATGTGTACAAAACTCACTTCTCGGAGCTGAAAACACAAACGATGGGGCACTTAGAAAAGGGTGTCACCTCCTCAGCCTAATGAAGACTGGGAGAAACAGCAGGGATAACGACCGTATTGGCGATGGACTACCATTGGTCAGATGAATTCCATCGAGATCGTTCTCAGTTAGAGTAAGGAATCACCTCCTTCAATCCTAATCTCACACACGCCTGATGAAGCCTTCCATAATTGTGCGAAGTGGGCGGCAGGCCAGGGACATGCATCGTGGGCAATTAATTATACAGAACGGTCTTGTCTTACTTAAACTGTTTCCCCGATGTAGAGAATTCCACCTTAGTCCCCCTCCTGACCCTCCTGATAACCCCCCTTCGCCGTCGCCCGTGAATACTTCATGTCACCGGGGTCCAAAGAAGACGCTGGACATCCAAGTTGCCCGCTAAGGTAAGATTAGTCCGCCTCGCCATTAGTACTGCCCCATAGGTAAAGGCGAGGGTTCTATCGCGGCCGGCACGAATGCGGCGGGTTCTTGCCTCGATGACCGCAGGATTTGACTTGTTCCTTCATTTGCCGAGAAGGACAAAATTGGCATTTGCTGTATATAGTAAATGGACCACGTGGTTCTTGTTCGGTTCTTGTCATCGAGGGCGGGAGCTACCATTCCGAGATTACTGTATATGTAAAAAATCCACTATAGCCTTTTTTGGTTATCTTCTCCCGAAGGTGCGACCCAACCGGAACTGGCCCGGTGCTCTGCACCGTCCTCAACTCTGTGCGCGCTACGCTAACCCCCCCCTCAGGACCAGGGGCTCCTTTTCTCAGCGCCCTCACTTCTGTTCAAAGGGAACAGTCGGGATTATGTACTATACAATCATCCACATCAGAAGAACTTGGAGCCTTCGTGAGCAGCTTGCCGCCACCCTAGAGCGTGCTGAGAAGGCCGGGCCATCAAGGCGCAGACTCACGATGTTTTTGGGCTTTTCAGCAGACTACTACTCAAGCCAAGTCTCAAGATGACAACTGAGCTGCTACCAGGCTCCCTGCCTGTTCCAAGGCCAAAACAACTTGAGAATCCATCAGGCAGCTGGGCAGCGTCATTCCATATCCCCACCCAAGCAAGAATGCTCAGACACTCACGACGATCGCAGAGCGAATCGATAGGGTTGAATTTCCGAAGAGGATGCAATCAAGTTTTAGTTTGGGGGAAAGACTCACAAATAAAAACAGGTTCTCGAAATTGCCAACGAGAGCACACCTTCTCCGAAATGTCTTGCTGCATCAATTTTCCCAAGTTGACATCTCATGGAATGACGGGAAAGAAGGAGAGAAGGTTGTGGGGGAAGCGAATACCGAACGGGGCAAATGTGTTCTTCGAATTTCGAATTCCGATAAGGATTGGTCTGTGCGCACCCAGGAACGAGTTAAGCAAAGTACTTAGATCCCACCGTGCAGCAGTGCCACGGAAAAGGATGCACGTCCAAAGAGACGTTCGCTGCTTAACGATGAATTTGTGGGGTCATCCGTTTGAAGCGTGGGAAACCTTCAAGTGGGAGAGTTGCGTTTTGAAGTGAGGGATAGGATAGGATGAGAAGAGAAATAATTTACAGTATTAGATCCGCCTATCTGTTCGCATTACACAGCTGAACTGTTGATGATTTTTCATTCCTCTAGTTATGGTCGCGCGTGTACGGACATTGCCTTTTTCCAAGACGACGGTCACGTTAACACAGTTTCCAAGTCAGTGAGTCACGGCGCTCGCAATGGACCTCTTCTCCTTCTTCGTCGCTGTCGTCGGAAGTCTTTGTCGGGACGCCTTAGGATTCCTCACTACACACCTCCCTTCCAACAAAGGCATTCCGAATTATTCCAATTGATCGGACCCAGAAGTTGCAACATTCTCCGTTCGCATAGGATTCTTGATGGATTACTATTACATAGCGATGGAACTAGAAACTTTTTAAATCCTGCTGCTACCTTCTACCCAGTCAACGGCCAACCGTCGCCATCGGAGTCACTTGGCCTTGCCCCGTTGTGTTGAAGGAGACACACGGAAGACCGCGCATTTATATAGTCTCTCTTTTGTAAGCCCAGTTTGCTCCTCCGGTCTTCGCCTTCTGATCTTAGTCAGTCCTTTCTGTATTCACCCGAAGCATTGTCTCAGATGATCTTCGCTGTTCTCTTGAACCATTCTCCACGTCGCTCCCACTACTTGAACTTCCGAATGAACTGCTATCTCTTATCGCCGAGTATGTGCCAGGGCGACACTCCGTCAATGGGACTGTGGTGGAGAGCAGTGATCTATCGGCATTGTCGCTTGCTTCACGGAAACTCCGAGCTATTTCCCTCTCTCTACTATTCCGAGATATCGTCATAACGTCAGACAAACAATTGTCGGCATTGGCACGCGTCGACAAGCAGTTGACTCATCACACAAAGTATATATATATTTTTTCTTCCCTTACATTGGTGTTTGTTTGTTTTGATTCAATTTGCTCTAGAGAACTTAATATATTCATGAACAATGACTTTCTGGATAAGTGGAGGATGTTCACGATGGCTGGGGCCTCTCCTCAAAGTCCACACTCGGCACTCCTTACCGTTCTTTGCAAAACACCATCCCTCCTCTCCCTTCGGATACGCGTCGCCAAACTGACAGGACCTGACTCGGCTTGGACCAAATCTGCCCTCTATGCAGCTCGTGATATTCCCGTTGGGCACGCGTTTTCGGAAGCGTACGATGAGCTCAACACCAAGTTCAAGCTTCAAAACCTAAAAGCACTAGAGCTTGACGCGTTTGAGGATATTGAACCGCTTCTCATCCTGACGCCAAACATCCTCTCACTCAAAGTGGTCGTCTCAGGTGGCTTCGAGCAGACTTCCAATGCGGGTTTCGTAAAAGCCCTTCGAAGCGTCCCAAAACTTCGACATCTCACGTATACTCCCGAAACGCTGCGCGTTAAAGGTTCGATACGAGGGATAAATGTACTTCTGGACGGCATAGTAGATGATGATGATGATGATGATGATGACGACGTTGAAGCAAGCGAGGGCAGTATTGAGCTTTTGACCAAAATTGGCGAGTCATGTTCAGATTTAGAGACCTTGGACCTAGAAACCCGATGGTATGGCTTAGACGAAATTCATTTCCCCGCGAGTCCGGAACCTTTAGATCCGGCCTCACTCCTCTCAATATCACCCCTTTTCCCTAATCTTCGATATCTCCACCTTCCTTCCACACCAATATCCTATCGGGACTTTGCCACGATTCGTAGTCCCTTTCATCCCAGTGCATCACAGATGACTCCTGAAACACTGGCCCAACTCCGAGATGCGTTCGAACGTATATCCACGATCGAATCGGAGATCGCCATGGAGATGGCCAAGCTCAGCCGTCAAGGTCTTCTGGAGAGCATCTCATTCGTTAGACCATGGTGTCCCGAACACAGGGCCGACGTAGCGGTCACTTATCCCGTGACGATCGTCCCTCCTCGCTCTCTTCCATCCCCAATCATCATCTCAGCTGGATGCACACCACCACCACCCATCAATATTATTGTCCGCGACGGACACGGCGTGGAAGTACGTCCATCCATCACATCCTTTGCGAAGGATGCGCAATTCGATCCACTCCCGCGAATCGTCACTAGGCCCATTCCGTTTTCTGTATCTGTGAAACGATTTGTCGAGGTTATGGGTGATAAGGAGAAGAGATGGAAGGCTCTTGATGACTTTGCACGAGATCATCAGGTTGCGAGTGCGGCGATCGCTGGTCTCGCTGGTTGTTTCGTTGTGGAGGTTGGCAGAAGCGCTTCTTTTCTCTTTAGATGACTACATTATCGATTTGTCCCAAGTTTTCTGGGGGACGCATCGATTCGATCCCGAATTTTAAGCACGTAATTTTGCATTATTTACGTATTTAACATATATATGCGCAACTTCATCGCTCACATGCATGGATATATGAGAACATTGTCTAAGCAGGCATCTGACACCTCTACGGACTCCGCTGCCTCATCAAGAACTGTTCTGGAGCACCTGGCTTGGCACCTATTTGAATTCAGTTTCATCCATCTTGTACTTACTCTCTCTCTCTTTCTCAAGTCTCAATGCGAGTGACTTAGCCAGTTTTAAGCCGTTGACCAATGTGAAGACGGATTCTTCAGCTGGTCAACACAGGGTCGCCACCCTATCCACATTTCTTGTCGGCCGTCGTCTCTTCGTCCAGTTCCCACGCTTAAGCAACCGTCTTAGGAAGATAAAGCACAAGTCCGAACGAACGAAACTTTGCGACTCCTCCATATCCCTGAGCGTAAGTACATATACTTGTGACTCAGTCAATATAAAATGGTTTCGTTTTCAATAAGAAAGGTAAATTTCCCGGTCGACTTTATTCAGAATTGATCCGAAAGTTATCAAGGTTTCTATGACGGAAGGGCCCAGCTCGGACGCGCACGGAAAGTTTAAATATTGGTGGTATCGTTCTGCCAATGGGATAATTACTTATTGGGACACGAAGTGGGAAACAGCCTGTGGACATGAAGCAGAGGATCCGAATGCCATCTGGTGGCCGTGGGCCTGAGTTGCGGATTGTCTACTTGCTATCCTCGTCAATATTCAATGTTGACACTGCAAACAGGCTGCACATGCCAAGTACCTTTGACTCAAAATGGCATCGCCGCCTGCCATCAGGAATGGTTTAGATAAAGCACGCCACAGAGAAGGGGATCGATTGTCGCTACAACGAAAGCCAAATTTGGAGCTGATTCATTTCCGTTGTCCCCACACAAACACACCCGCGATGTTCCTTATCGAAATATTGACATCAACGTCATAGCTAGATTAGATAAGGTTATTATCCATGTGATAGAATCCTGTTGATGTCAGATATAAATGCGGCTCAAGATTACTCATAGTCATTATTTGGCGATACAACATTTTGATCCTGTTTGACGATAGTCAGAACAGGACACAAGGACTTATACAGAATACAGAAGAGTTGAAGGACAGGAAGTACCGTAAGTGTGCGTGTTACGGTGGATTAGGTGAACTAGGAATCATCAAAAGTCAGAGCTCAAGGAGGAAGCTGTCAAAGCCTCAAAGGGGTAGAAGTTATCAATCGATAACAAGCGAAAGGAATGGCAAGAAATTGCAAGAAGCGAGTAAGCAGGACAAGAAAGCGACCAAGAATCAAGGGTCAAGAATCCAGACTTGCGTGAATGCATTCTGAGCCAGAGATATCCAAAAGGTATCCAGGCCTGCAAAATTCAATGACACATTTGCTGGAGACGCAGCGAACGGAAGAGGCATTTGCGATCGCACTGCAGTCACGACCAGTAGGAGTTAATCCAGGTAGGGACGACGTACATCCACCGCCTGTTCATCGTTCATCAGTTTTCATTTTTTTTAAGGATTCAAGTCAGGGGAATATGGACGTACAACTCTCGAGATTAACGCGAGTATCGATGCATTCGTATCCACGAGTATTGCGACCGCGTCCATAAACACCACATTTCTCGTACCCAGTCGGGCAACGAGCAAGGGCTAATTGAACTGCCCGACGACGCGAATGAGCTGAAGGGTTAGGGCATGCGGCGGTTTGGCATCTTCCATTGCACTCGTATTTATCAGAAGGGCAATAGCAATGACCATCGCTGGCCTTGGAATACCCATCTATGCACTGAGGGGATGCGCGTGAGGTATATAATAAGATCCCAATTCGACGACGGAATCAAGTACCTCATAACCGCAAGGATCCTCCTTTCTGCACACCCTTTGAGAGTGAGGAGGAAACTGGCAAGTATGCTTGTTGGGGGACTTATTAACCTAAACGGTGCACAGGCTCATGGTGAGGAGGATATCTTGGACGGAGAAGCGCGTACTTACTAGAGCAGCTAGACTAGCCGTAACCACGTCCACTCCAAGTGACGAAACGGCGGTTTTCACGCTAGCATCCGCTTGTATAAGGCCTGGACGGAACGTGTTAATAAACGCGATCCGCGATGTGAAGGGATTTCGACGGTACCTGGAATGGTTCCTAAGCATAGGCATATATGTGCGGGGAGTCGAATGCCGAGAAGCCCTAAGAGACTAGTCGCAAGGTTAACGTCTACTTCTGCACATACGTCGATGGACAGAGAGGTGCGCGGCGAAAGCGTTTTCGGTACGGTGGCGGACGCGGAGCCGAGAACAGAACGAGAGATCGCGATGACAGAAAAACACAAGGAGAGTGCGGAATGAGCGAAGTGCATTTTAGAGAGGTGAATGAGTGGAATATTCCTTCTAGTCTATGCGGTGGAAGGCTGAAACAGGTTCTCGAGGATGCACAATTGTTGGCACTTATTTATACCGGGCCTCCGGGGTTAGGCGTGTTGCCGGTGGAAATCTCCTTCACAATATACCTTGCTCATGCTCATCGCTCTAGATGGTACGAATAGAAACCAGATCGAAATGTCATTACATTGCAGACTGAACAGAAGCTTTAAAAATAAATAGATTACAAAAACGGATTAAACGACAAGTAGCTTGTAGTTCTAACGGCGGATGTAATCAGTGAATGCTGGTTGAAGTGTGATGCAAGGTGGGGGGAGGCGAGAAGGGGATGCTAACGCTGAGGTGTTGATGATCGGGTGCGCTTTAAGGGAGGCTCAGCATCGGAGGGCTCGAGTTTTACCGTCATGGGTTCATCGTTCTCCTTATCAGGCGAAGATTTCCGTTTGAGCCCTGATGTCCTAGGCGGCGAGACACTGCCTTCCTTTACTGTGGTCTCTGGTGTCCTTGAGCGTGATCGTGAAGATGGGAAGCGTGGATCCTTCAAACGCTTAACAGCAAGAGCAGAGGGCGACATTGTCTCTGCATGACATGTGGCATGATACACCTGGAAACCACGTTTCGCCAGCATGAGTTCATCATCGTCATTGCACCTGTTGGGCTTGCAGCTCGAGCGAGCACATACCTTGCCCTTGACTTGCACAGCGTTCTTCCATACCCATTCTTCGTCCTCCTCCAGGAATTCACTCTTGAGGGTCTCGCGGCAAATAGGGCATGTGACGGATTTCGACTCGTCTCCTGGCGGAACCACAACATACATAGCATTAAGCTTGGAGAGTCGCTCCGCTGCTGCTGCTGCCGCCGCCTTAGCACTAACCGGGCCGCCCGCCTTTCCTTTCTCTCTGAGATCTGATGCCGCATGCGCGTCAGCGATATCATGGACCCAGTTCTGTCAAACGAGTAGTGAATAACCGAATGGTAGACTGCCATGGAAAAAAAAACTTACGTCCACACCAACGAACCAACTGCGTGAGTGTCCACGGCCAATCGACTCCGTTGCACGTTTATTCTGTCTAAAGTGGAGGTCGAGATGGTCATCTCTCGCCTTTGCACCTGCCTCATCGTCCGGAAAGCGCTTTGCACATTGCCTGCATTTCAAGGGCTGCCTCTCATATAACATGGACACCATGTCTGGCTGGGATCTGGTTCAGGAATCGTGGTGAACAGTTGTCTTCACGAGATCTGACTGATAACATACCTCTGCAAACCTTGATTCGTCAGCGTAACAGAAAGTGATAAGATTTTACGCTTATAGTCTCGCAATCTCGCTGTCTTAGGGTCTATTTTAGATGGATTTTCCTCATGTTTCGGCTCAATCTTAGAAGTAGGGGCCTTTGCATTTGGAGCTTGGACGATGCCCGCCGCGACCAAGCTCTGGAACAGTGAGTCTACGTCAACACTAGCAATAGCAGCAGGCTCAGGTGCAGGGGGAGGAGTAGGGGGAGAGCTGGCAAGACTATTTACGAGCGATCCAAGTATCGATGAAAGGTGAGACGCAGTGGCTGACGAGGACGAGGGAGTGACTTGAGGAGCAACTCGCTGGGGAGGATAGTGAACCGCAGGAGCAACCGGTGGCGGCGGTGGAATGGCGGCAGGGGGCGGTGCAGTCGAAGCAGTTGTGCGAGCCAATTCACGGAGCCGTGACAAGATTGCATTCAAATCACTCGATGCCATGGTGGTTGTTGAGACTAATTGATGAAGCTGATAAGGTAGTGAGTACAAATACCAAATCACTCTGATAACATTCGACAAACCTGACGAAGCACATCGATATGGGCGCGAGATTCCATGTCGGCAGGATTGGCCTCAACTGCCTTGATTTTCTGAGCAAGATTCACATCGAGTTCAATTAGTACCTGGGATTGGGTAGGGCCAGAATGCCCAGAGGTTGTGTCACCCCAAATAGCTCTCTCAATGGTCTGCTGAGGAACGGAACCAAATAACTCGGCCCCAGCCAGGGCTGTGCGCCAGGTCACGAGCATTTCTTCCATCTTGCCTCGTGTGGCTGGATCGACGGATTGATAAGATTCCAGGAATAGCGGTGTGATAAAAGCAGAGAACAGGACAGTATAAGGAGGCCCAATATTCTTTGAGACCGAGTCCAGTAAGTAGAAACACGGCAACTTGATAGCCGGGTGGACCTGATGGGATCGGAGTTAGAAACGGACATATCGGATCAAAGTCGGACATAAGCATAGGGAGGGACTGGACTGGGACTGGGACTGGTGGGGCCGCCCAACAAGCCAGAGCCGCGATAGGGTGCAGACAGCCCTCAAGATATGGATGGACCCCGGGCTGTACGAACACGATAGTTCGAGGTCGGCAGCGGCTGGCATGGTCGTTGACTGACTTTTGTACATACAACATGGAAATGTACACGTAACCACAACACGAGCCTCCCTAGCACAACATAATGCGCAGTCCCTACTACTCTGTTGCCAAACTCACGGAGAATAAACTTGACTTACCCTATGAATGTGTTGTTCTATACATTGGGATATCACAGACGCAAAGCGTTGCGAATGCTCTCGAGCAATATACGACAAACGATGGATAGTGAGTCTGTCAGTGCCCAGCAACTTTCCCAACTCATTGTTGAACCAGTTCCTGAAAACCTCAATTTCTTGAGGTGTAGGTGGGGCCTGGTAGCTCATAGGCGACTGCGGGTATGCTTGCTGATACACGGGGTATGCCTGACTTGAGGTTGACGCAAAAGTGCTCGGACTCTGCGAATATGCGGCGCTTGGATAGGGTGCGTGATGATACATGGCCTGCATGGTATAGGCAGTAGGTGGAGGATAGGTTACGTTTATAAAGCGGTTGCTGGTGGCTCAAACGTTGCTTGGTCAACACAACAATAATGGACTAAACCTGAGACCGCTCAAATGCAAGCGGAATGCAGAGCGGCACACTCAAAGTGGACGGCAGATAACTCCTTAGGTCGTAACGTAAACCTCACACAAATCGATTAGCAATCGATTGCAGGGACGGTCCTCACTATGGGTGGCTGGCAAGATGATGGCGGTGTGAAGAAAGGAGTTTGGCCGCCGGCACTCTCCGATATAGCAATCTCCCAATCACGTGATGCTTCCATATGCGTCGATTGTCCTTCAAAGATACTACAAGGTTACAGGATGGAACGAGGACAATCTGTATTCGAATCTGACGCGTGCTTCTACCTGTAAGAAGTGGTTAGGGATATCAACCATGTTATTTGTACTAAGTCTTCTTCAACAGCCATCTTGGACTTCAGTGTCCCTCGAGGATTACATTTCCACATTTCCAAATCCCCAAATCCTTGGTTTAAGACGACATATTCGATGAACGCTCTTCCATCCTTGAATGGTTCCATAGGATACATTTTCACCTCGTGCGACTTGGATGTGAAAGGCTCGGCTGATCTGCGGTTGAAGGATGTTGTTGAGCGATTCAGAATTTATGACGTGCCTAGGAGGCCCGAGGGCAAGCCCGAACAGTGGCTAGGCGGGGAGAGGGTGGATACACATGGGGAGTGTCCTGACTTTAGAACGAAGACCCACTACCTAACCTTGCCAGCGAGCAGATTTCTTGCTGTATGGCCGATACTACATACCCAGTTCACGTTTAGATGCTCTCTACTCCACCAGGCTATCCGCGCAGACGCAGGCTCTCATCTCCGTTATTTCTGACCCCTCTACGGCTCTATACGCTCGAGGGTCCAAGGGAGGAACCAGCTTGATTGGAGCAAATAATGTGATGTTCAATCTGCAACGCGACACGGGCCGGTGGAGCACTGAATATTCCTGGAGTGCGGATGATGGAATGCTTGGAGCGAGAGCTTTATATAACTTTGGTGCGCTGGGTGATGAGGAAGATACGAGGGAACGCAATGTGCGGAGTCGACGTGTAGACGAGGAAGAAGCTATGGAGGGTGGACTAAGAGGTCGATTCTCAGCCGGTGCAGAGGTGTACTTTAGTGCCAAAGAGAAAAGTGCAGGAGGTGAGTAATGAGTCCGTGCCATAATTTGTGTTTGCTCATCGTCATCCATAGTTTCCACTGGGTTGCGATTTACGACACTCCCTGAACCTTCGTCCTCAGATCCCAACGTTTACGACCCCATCCAACCCCCAACTGCACTTACGGCCATTTTTAATCCTATGATGGGTCACATTTCGAGCGCTTACACCGCCCGTGTTTCGCGTGACCTCTCATTATGTTCGCGCTTTGACTTCAACGTTTACAGCTATGAGAGTGAGTGGACTATGGGCGCAGAATGGTGGATCCGAAAAAGGATCCGAAAATCAAACGGCTCCGACAAGGCGCTAGATGTTGCACTCCTGCGCCTGTGCCCCCGGCTCCGCTGGATACAACACCGAGCATAGGGGAGGCGAGTCAAATACGTGGAGTGGTCAAAGCAAGGATGTCCACTAGTTCGGTGTGTTTGCTCATTCCCACTGGCTGCGCTTCTTTCCTAACACTACTGAATTAGGATGTCTCACTCATGTGGGAAGGTCGGCTCGGGAAGACTCTAGTCAGCCTCGGTGTAGTCTCCGATTTCTCAAATCGATCGAAACCTATCCGAGCCATTGGCTTGGAGCTCTCTTACTTCAGTTCAGAATAGCCAGGGGCTCATTGGCACCTGCGGTGGTCCCACACTGCAATATGGAAGTATTGTAGCCACATCATTACCCAAGAAAATATCTTTCTACTGTACCGTACTAGGCATCCAGCCACGCATCTTTGCGAACATCTCCCAAATCTCACGCCCAGCTATATCACCGCCTCCGCCGAGCCTCGTCTCTGTCAGTATGGCGTCATATCTATTTCTTGCATCGCCTTCCTTCATATCCAGGATGTCTCTCCATTGGTCCAGCTCTTCGAACTCCACGTTCAGTGCACGGATAATATTGGAAAGGTACGCTAAGTCTGAAGAAAGTTGTGCTGCCCCCTGCGAAGATAATTGAGGGATAGAAGGGAGGATAGTGCTCGTTAGGTGGGTCAATAGAGACAAAGTGAGGGAATGTAGCCAGGTTGAGGTGACCATCTCGGGTGAGAGAGACGCGGGTGGCGGCTGGTGTAGCTCGGCTGCAGAGGCATTAGAAGCGAGAGATAAGGAGGTGGAAGAAAGTCGCCGTGCCGGTACGGAGAGTGTCATGGAAGCTCGCCGTGAGTGCGATGCGGGACGGTCGTCAGTCGGAGATGGAGGTACCCCTGTTTGTGAATTTTCTGCATGCATCATATATTTGAGAGATTCCTCGTTCACGAAAGGGAGAGTCTCGATTGAAAATGCCAATGCATCGTCATCCCCATATACTTCAAATAGTCGCGGTAAATTCAGCAATCCTTCTGCTACGTGCTGGACGGTCTGAGTTGGGGATAGTGAAAATGATGGTATTTGAAGATCGAAGGCCCCTCGTTCCGTCTTAGATTCTGTGGAGGACCACGCCGGAGCACTTGCATATGTGCTTAGATGAGCGTGCAGTGGCTTTAAGATGACGTGCTGAAGGTAGAGCTGACACGATTTCGTGAATGAAGAGAGACCATCAAGGGACGCTGCGAGTATGCTCGCATCTAACCTTGCAGCCGGCGAGGCTGCGACAGAAAATGAAGGCGAAGGCGCAGACGCACTTGCTGGGTCGAGTGCATCTAACAAGGCGTGGAGCTCTGCCGAATTGAGAGAGGATTGAAGCAAAAGTTCGGCTTCTCCCTTCGTGGCGCCTATGCCTCCCAAGTGAACACCGTGGGGGTCGTTTCGCGCAAGGCGGAAAGTAGTGGAAACCTGAACGAGGCTAGCTTTTACTTTCGCCTCGAATACTAATAACCTATCCTTGACGACTCGACACGTCTCAAGGAGATGCAGAGCGAGTTGGAAGTTACTCCAGTCATCAGGAGTATAATCAAGCTCCTCGAGGGTCTCCGAATCTACGCGTGAGGTATGATGTAAACCAGACTTTATTGGGCTCGGATTGTCTCCATTAGTTTGGGGAATGAGACTACGTTGCGAAGTCTCTAGAAACGTTTTGAATGCCTGATTAATGGCCCCCACCATACCGATCGCACCATACCCGTGGGTAAAAACGATGCAACGGCTTAGACATTCCTCCACCGCACCGAAGATCGCAGCCGAACGCTCTTGCAAAACCCGCGCGACATCAGAAGACTGCAAGACAGATGGGCCGACAATTCGGGAAAGCTCTTTGTTCATAAATCGAGTTTCCAGGGGCTGATACTCCGTCTGAAGATCAATAAAGGATTCGAACAAAGCGAGCTCCCACGTCACTCCCGGTCCACTGGCCAGCACGTTGACATTGGGAGACATTGATGTCGATTTTGAACCCATACGCCGCGACGATATCGAACTCCGCCTCCCAGACCGTCTTGTCACAGAATCATCACTCGCTTGGGAGAAGAAAGAGGAGTATCCCATTCGGCTCATGATCTGTTCAACAGAGCTTGCGAACTCTTCCGCAACTCTGAAGGACTTGATCAGCTCCGGAAGAGCGGCATCCCCATGGGACTCCGATACGTCGGTCAGACGCTGGCTAAGGGAAGGCGAGAGAGAATCCAAGGTGGACTGAATAAAGAGGGAAAGGCTGGTTTGGGGATCCGAAAAGATTGCGGTGATACTGGTTTGCTCTTCATTTACACGCGCAAGGAGATCGGCCAGAAATTTCCGGAAGAATTCGGCGAAAGGAATGGGAGTCGAAGCAGATGGTGCGGACGGAGCATTATCACAATCCACCAACAAAACAGATTGCCAGAATGAAACAAGGTCTGCACGCCTGGAACCATTATAATAGTTCCTAAATTCAGTCTCGCGCTGAATATTAGAAAAGATAGAGAAATAGGATCGACAAGCAGACACGTCCTTCGCATTGATAGCAGCCACCAAAGGGGAACTGACGGCAGCCTCCAATTGATTTTGCAAACTGATCATGAGAGCTCTCCGACTTTCAAACTCGGGAGTATTCTGGAACACAACCATGCTCCGGCTTGCTTCGGCTAAACGTTCGCTGGCCTTCGCAAATGACGCGGTGGCAATGAGATTCGTAACCTCAGGCTCGAGAACACTCCAGCTCTCTGCTTCTCGTAGGACTTCTCTCGCTCCCTCCATTCTCGACTTAACAGTAGAAAAGTAATGAAGACGTTCGAGAGCAGCGTTAGTGGGATCATTTTCGGCCCGTTTTGTCTTGCTTTCAACGGATTTCAGATTCACTTGAAGGGTAAGGCCGGACTCTCGCATAAACTGGAGATCGTACGTGATGCGAGGGACGGTTCTTGAGACGTCCTCTATCGTCTGCTCAAGCTGCGCAGCAGTATCCTGTGTGACAACTTGCAACCGTGTCGCGAGGTGCGAGATGCGTTGTTCAAGAGTGGCAAGATTGGCCTCAGCCTCTTCCCCCCCTGAGTTGGAAAGCCTCTCGTCGAGAACATGGTTTAGCCATCCTTCGATATCATCCTCATATTCGTCTAACGACAGAAGAAGATCTGCGGTGGGAATTGAGGGCACTGTGTCGGTTTCGTCCACCTGACTAGTGGGCATTGAACTGTGCCACGAAGTCCTTTCCGTCCATGCAAGTCAGGATGGATTAGATCGTGTTGCAGAGGGGTCACGTACAACAGATGCTGATTCATGGATTACACGCTGAGCGCTAAAAAGTGCGTCACATGGTAGTTCGCTTCGTTGCGGTCGATATACTTGCCCCATCACGTGAGCCGTTCTCCCGTTTTGCGGCATCTGCGATCCCGAGCGCTACGAGCATGCACGCAATAGATCTTGTTGCGAAGACTCGTTCCGAACATGTGATCTGTGCATATGGTATGAGTGGGTCGCCGAACGGATCAAAATAGGCAGGGTTGCCTTAATATTTAAGGACAAGACGATCTCGGTTGTCTTTGATGTGGTGTTGATGAGATCACTGATCTAGGTGGAGTCCCTCTACCAAGGATCCGCAAATTCTGGGCATTTTGACGTTGGCATCTTTCAGCTCCGACTCTATGACGGTCTATTAAATTAGGTGCTTCATACATGCAATGGTGACTCGTGCGGCGATCAATGGTCCAGCCTTAATTCTCTCTCCCTCCAAGGCAGCAGCGAGCTCGAGGGGAGTTACAGGGCCCAGCTCTGTTGGAGGTAGTATAATGCTGGATCACGTAGTCAGCTGAAAAACACTTTCATCGCAGTAAGTTGTTGAGACTTCAGTCTGCCACCTTTGAGTAGAATACAAAGCAGACGCTGAGCGAGTTTCGGGTGGGCAAAGGGGGAGGGACTAGGTATTTGGGATGATTCAGACTACACTTGGCGGAATGATAACTCCACCACCCCTGTGAACGCTAAAAGAAACTAATAGAATCGGGTGGACAGTCATAAAAGGGAAAAAGAAGACACGCGATGTCCTTTGGGTCCCAATTATGAACTCAGCTGAGGTTCGTAAAGAAACGTCAGACCTTGCCATAAACGCACAGAGACAAGAAGCAATGACACATACACCGTGAACCCTGAGCTTAACTTTACATGCCGAGGGGGGTTGTATTGAATCCCAATTATTTACCTATGGAATTTGCATGAGCAGAACTGGCGACGCGAACTAAAAAAAATGAAAAACCATACCTCACTCGGCACTTTGGGTAGGTCAATTGATTGTGGTTGTTCAACGTCCACCGCGGATCCTAATATTAGGTATTGTCGAGCCTGACTACGAGCATGCAAGCTAAGGACGAGGACCAAAAAAAAAAAATTAGCGATCAGCCATGCATAATAATAGAACTTTACTTTGCTAGCAGATAGATGGGGTATACTCCACCCAATGCCTATACAATCGAAGTTAATACGGATGATGAGGAGTATGTGTAAGATCCCGAAAAAATTCCCGAAAAAAAAAAACTAACCGCTACAGACCACATATGCAGGAAGTGCATCCCATACAAGACATACTGGATTTGGACAAAGGGCGGTTTGTGGATCGTCTTCATTTAAAGAAGATCAATATGCTACTACTCACCGGGAATAGCATCGTCATAGCAAGAATACTATTAATTGAGGGAAAGGATATCTCCTGAATCCTACTGCATGCTGAACGGAACGGACGGACGGCTAACCTCGTAGCTATGCTGCCCTGAATCGCATTCCTGATCAAAATCTCTCTGTCCATCCTACAGTCATATATTCAGAATCCCAACGGCCAGAAAAGACAGAAGTGTGTACCTTGGGGTTCCAGTTCGATTGCGATGCAACTCCACAATCATTATGGATGCAATTAAGATATCTATGACGACCTATATTATAAGGAGTTCTCTCTCTCAGACTTTTTTCCGCAATAATGATGTTTACGGGGAGACGGGAAGATGTTTAGACGAACGAACTTACTTGGGTTGCAGACCAACCAATAATCGAGTTCCGGTCCCACTCGGGAAGTTCGAGTGCGTCCGCATGGATTTGCCTCCAAAAAATCGCATATCATTGTTTTGTCCATTGAACTTCAATTCCATACCTACGCTCGAATATACACCCCTAAGTCAGAACGAAAGTAGCTGATCAGTAACTTTCAATCAGAGTCAGAACTAGTTTATTACCAAGTCCGAAGCCTGTAGACGACAACGGTGGCTCCCCATCAGTTTGCAGTTGCTCGAATCAGTACTGTGGAAAGGTGGCTAGCTCACCAAACTCAAGCAAGATAAGCAGAATTAGGGGCAATGCCACCCACATCCCGATCGCTGACATGAACCAATGAATTGATTTTTCTTCACTCATCGCGAAAATAGAAACAGACCCTTCTTGATACGCCAGGAAAAGAAAGATTGGACCAAGATGGAAGCCACAAGCTGCCGAACGGCACTCTCTGAGATGGTGTGGATAGCTGGATGGAGTACAACAAAAAACACACCGTGCTCAGAGTATACTCGGAGTTATACCTGAACAACAGCAAGTCAGGCTGACTGTAAATAGTGTTCGAAGGTAGGCTCACCATGAGACTCTTTCCGCTGGGTCCACGCGCAAAATAACCATCCTATACTGGGCTACAGCACAGCATCCGCTAAATGAGCGTTAAAAAGGAAGAGAAGGCCTGTGGTGCCAGGAAGCACGTACAGACCAAGGACCTGGGTGAGTCTGAGTGAGTGCATACACGAAGTTAGAGCTTCAAACTTTGCGAAACGTTGGTCCGGCTCACAATAACACTAGAACCTGGATAGATAATAAGATGACATCGAGGCCATCAATAAGTATCGTAGGACATACCAGAAGTTTCGTTACGATAGGATCTTTCGGGAATTTCAAAAAATACGATCTCGACTGTACGGTCGTGATCCCAAGAAGTCTGCAGGAGACTTAGCACGCCGAGCTTGTATAATTAATAGCCCAAACCCACATCGACATGGTGATAATGCCATACAAGTAGCCACCATTAAGGTTCTCGAAAGGGGTCATCAGAGGTGATGTGGGGGGACTCTCTGGGCGGTCGTGGAAAAACACTTACATAAATAGGATTTTGATGTTTGCCACAATGATTTCTGGAGATCTCCCTTGACGTTGATTTGGCCCGATTAGGTCATAACGCAAATATAGAAAGCGCCATTCAGGAGAAACTTAAGAAGCGGTCGCTGACTCGCCGCTCAATTGAGAAAACGGCGTTGCAAAATCACCGTGACGGAGAACAGGCGTGAGGAGTGAGGGATTTCTTACTTGTCGAAAACTTACCAAAAGTGGCGAATTTTGCAACGCGTAAAAATGAGCGCGGCCATTGCCTGAAGCCTTGGAACGTGGGGGTGAATCGTTTTTTTATGTGTGAAAACGCTACCGAAATTTCGTTGGATCGCTTGAGCAAAATGAGAACGCTTGTAACAAGACTCCGGCAAGGGCCGAAGACACTCAGAGTGGCCAAACGGATCAATATAGGGAGGCCTACTTAATTAAGGACGAGACGATCTCGATTAATTCTGATGCGGTGTTGATGAGATCACTATTCTTTCCTTCTATTTATGGTGGAATTTCCACTGTCACCGACGCTCATGTGCAACACTATCACGTAAAGTCGGAGTTCCTCCTCATTTCTCATTCGCGAGACTGCGTGGAATGATTCTTGGCTACCGCGGATCATTTCATTCATCAATTAATCGAGCCCACCCTTGATGGATCATCCATATATACCGCAATGTTGCCCCAGATTACACCAGAAAACTTTACGAATAGTATTGGCAAGAATATCATTTCTGTCATGCCCCAGCTTGAATGTTTCTTTTCCCTCTCCCAGCCCCCCCTTTCCCCTATCAATCCATCCGCATTGAGATATTGACTTTCTTGGCATTTGATCGGAGCCGCCCCCGCTGCTGCGCATTCCCCCATTTCAGGAAACCCGACTAAAACTCAATTGACACCATCCCCTTCTGAACCACGTCAATGTCTAGGCAGATCACCAGCCTCTAGTCAATGTCATCGATCGCAGTACTTATTCCATCAGTTACGTTCGCTCGTCCCAGGTGTGCTGCGGTTCCTCCTTCTCATGTAGCAAACTGAAAAACACCGAAGCGAGGGGACGGAGTAGGAACCACGAAAGAATGCAATGTCGCGAATACGCACACATGCATGGACCGATTCTTCAAGGATTTAATATACTAATTTAAGCGGAGGCGCGTCCAGTCCCCGATCCGAGGAAATAACCTCTCCCCAATACACAAACGAGACATTGTGTTGTCTCGGACGTTTGGAACGCCGTGCAATGACGCACGGAGCTCGATCCATATATTCTGGTGGATGGTGGACTTAACCGCTTCGTAGACTAGCCAATATTTCACTGACATACCACATAGTTGGACGGTCTACGGGGGAATGAGCTAAGCATTGTTTGATGAGCAGTGAGCACTTCGACTCAATCCGACTAGCTGGGGGCTCCAATAATAAGGAGGCACTATTAATGTAGGAAGATGGATTGTTTCAGCCGGGAACAGGGAAAATGGTCGCGGTGCAGGTCCACCTCAGGATTTGATCCATGTAGGCAATGGGCACACGGTGGTAGGAGGCAGATAGTTGTCAAACCAACGTCGGCGCCACAGACTGATTACGTAATTGCTACCTAGTCACCAACAATGCATATTCCCGTCCTCTTTGGTCCGCCCAAAAACCATGCTCAGATAATATCTACTTGGTGCCAAGAGGCTGTTCTCCGCGCGCTGTCACTGGAGATTCTGGGACTTACGGCCCTTTGAATTGTTCAGTGCACTTGGCAGCAACCCATCAGCGTGTAGTGAGTTCGCCTTCTTCATTTGAACCTATCGTTCACCCCTCAATCCCCTTCTCCCACATCATCGTTCGCTATTGTCAAACTAAATTCGGACTGAATAGCGTCCGAAACTGTTCGAAGAAGTTATCCTTGCATGCAAAATCTAGTCGCGCTTGTTTTCGCCATGGACAGTTGGCATCACCTTCTCATGTCTTCCACTCGGAACGACTGATCCTTCCGGACGGGCTTCTAGCTCTCGGGATGCTGACTATGAAAGGCCATGACTGGGGTATAACATGGTGGCAGCACATTTATTGGAATTGGTAGGTCGCACATGTATCCGGCGTATCCAATTTGGTGAGTCGGCTCCCGCCTCGTCATTCAGGGGGAAATATCGGCAATGTGCAGATAGAAGTATGGTTGAAATGCGTTCCCATTTGCAATTCACCACTCCCCGTGTACCTATACGGCTTAACAACTACGCTCAACTGACCACCTAAAATGCACGTTTTGATAATGTTTCCCAGATGCGATTCTGGTGACATCCTCTCGACGCACATCACCTACCCATCAAGTCGGTTAACCATTCATACCGTGGCTCGACACACCTGTAAAGACGAAGGGCATGAGCATCTCTTCAAGAATTGAAAGGGCACACCAATTGGGTTCTTTGCGTGGCCTTTTCACCGAATGGCAGTTACCTGGCCTCTGGCTCGAGCGACCACGCCATACGTATCTGGGATGCCTCGACGGGGACGTCTCTCCGAGTGTTGGGGGGACATACAGATTGGGTTGGATCTGTGGCATATTCACCCAATGGCCGTCTGCTGGCTTCAGCCTCAAATGACCATACTGTGCGTGTTTGGAATGAGGCGACAGGGGAGAATATTCGAATACTGGACGGTCATATCAATTGGGTATTCATGTTTTGTCGCTAGCAGGTAGTTGTACTATGCTGTCCCCCTGCATCTTATGATCACGCATGCCCACATCGCGATGGGGTCATATTGAAAGGAGGAAGAGATATTCAATCGCAAGTGTGCGTCATAAAACCGATGTAAATCCATGAATTACTGTTATCTCTTTCGGTGGCTTAAATATGTGTGCATCTCATGAGCCGAGCCCAAGCTCACAATACTTTCTTCAATTTTTATTCAAGAGGTTGTACGATCTTACTTATTTTTCCCTTCACCTGCAGTTTTGGCACTCCGCATGACACCAGAGACCCATCGCCACCAACAATATAGCTTACATCACTAAACCTAACATTACAGAAATATCGGCATATACGCTTCGGGGACTCCACAATTCTAAATAGCGTCACAGCGCAAAAGTCATCAGGCTTATAGCCAAGAGAATGGCAAGTGAGCAATAGAGAGCGCACTGGTAAATGCTAAACAACTTGGCTAATGTCCACGACAATTGGGGCCCGCAAACCTCCCTGGACCAGAAATCGAGTCCCATCCCTGCTGGACTGAGGGCGGTAAAGCCCCAGAGCATCATCTGGCACTCGATGACCGTACCAGGCTCGCTGGGAATTGATCGGTTGATAGTTGGTTGGGAGCATGAGTTCATCTCTGCCATTAAGCCACAATGCCAAGTAAATGGAGCTGCGGTTGATTAGTGGGGTTCTCGATGCGATGGGCAAATTGCAAAGCGGATCTGAGTTGCTTGGCGAGAGGTCGTAAAATGGGCGCTTGATCCAGGACTCATCAGACTCGTCATGCGCGTCGGAATCATGCACACAAGTTGTGTCACCTTCTGCCAAGGGAAGGGTGGCTCGAGTGAATATAGGATCAGGGATGAGATATGAGGGTGTCGGAGGGACATTGGGATTAATAATCCAACAAAAAAAGTTTGTCACCCGATAACCTGCAATGCACTGGCATGATTCCGTTGACCAGGCAATGGCCTGGGTCCCATTAAAAGCACCAACATAATGTGCTCCTGGAGAGAAACCAAGCGTCCGACGGTGTGGAATGCCTAGCTTCTCATCATCAAATTGAGAAGATGGGAAGAAAGGAGGAGAAGCAAGAGGCTGAATGGATGGAACCTCCGAAACAGATATGAGGGTCATGTTGTTGTACCAAAAGCTGTCAAGATTTCGTGGGACTCGCACGACAAATAACCCGTTATCTGAGGCTATGGTTCCAGCTGGATAGGGACCAGTGGGAAGAGTGCCAAGATTCACAGGGGTCATACCATCACCGAGGATTGTTACATTCCCATCATTATCCTCAGTGACGACTCGGTGGCTGCCATGAACAAATTCGATACAGGCTGGGAGATTGGCTGGACTGTGCTGCAATCGGCAGATTGTGCGCTGGTGGTTGATATCGGCCACTTCGATAATTCCGCTGCCAAATCCGAGTGCAATATAGCAACCATCAAGGGAGAGTGCAGCGCATGTCACGATACCGTTGCGAACATCGGGTTCGTGGAATTCAGCATCGTAATTGATTATCTTACGTCCCCGTTCATTGAACACCTCTGGTAGTTCACTCAACTTTGCCTGCATGACCACTTGGGCCCTAAGCAAATCCTTGCTTAAAGGAATGGTGCCACCAGAAAACTCGCCGAAAGCGGAGAAGATCCGGACAGGATCAGCAAGATGGCCATATTGTTTGTGAAGGGATGACGAGGGTGGGGCAAAAGGGAGCTCCGATCGGTAGAATTCCCATGGTGCATCCGCAGCAGTGAAAGCTAGCTCCTTTAAACCTTTCAGAAGTTGGATTGAATTGTGATTCTATCAAAAATGACATCAGAAAAACGCCGGAGGAATAGTTTATACTTACATTGAATTGAAGTAATTCGTCGGGAATTGAACTTCTGCTATAGCCCACATCTTGCAAGTGCATGAAAGTCAAGAGGTAGTTTTGCGTGATGAAGGAATTAAACTCGTTCTGCAATTCATTGGACTCTTGTGAAAAAAGTTGGGAAGGGTCCAAGTGCCTGAGCAAGTCTACAATAACATAGTTGAGGCCCCACAAATATTTCTCCTTTTTCGTCATAAATTCCCTCCATATTCTTTCATCTCCTAAAGGGGGATTCGTAGGTATTCCGAATGCATCCAGCTCACAATAATTGCTGAAGAGGCGAAGCAGTGGCAATCCAAGGAAATACCCTTTCGGGTCATCGATGAAAAATACTTTGTCCTTCTCATTACCAATTGGTTCCCCTGTGATGAATTCTTGTGCCGTTGCATGATATAAGGTGACTTCCTCTGTGTTCCCTGAGGGAAGATTGACGATGGAGCTGATTGGTTCCAATGTCGCACGGATCTCGTCTTCGCCAATGTTGAAAAGCTGTGACATAAAAGAGACCCTCATTGGCTCGTGCGCCGCAACAATCGCACCAACCACTAAGCGATACTTCTTGGCTACATCTGGGTGAATATCAGATGAATCCAGCATGTAGGCTCGTCGAAGGATTCGCAAGTACTCCCAGTTGAGGTTGGCAGGTGCATCGGTGAGGGTTAGCAACTCCCGGAACACCGACTGTAAGGTGCGGCCACGCCGTGTCTGCAGGCCGGCATCGCGAACCCGGATAGATGCCATAACAGGTAACCCCCGACAGGCCCGAGCAAAATCAGTGAGTTCCCTCTTGTTTGGTTTCCACGGAGATTCACTAATGAGCTCCTGAAGCCCATCCGCCACCATACACCGCACTGTGGAGAAAGCTACATCCGACACGATGTTGTCCACATCTTCACACGGTATGATAAGACCCTTGGTTCGAGCCTTAGACCAAGCCGAAATGACTCCTGACTCAGGGCGACAGCTAAATAGCACAGCAAACGCCGGTGGCAGCTCCTGAAGGGTAAGAACTAGCATCATCAGGGATTTGAGTATCTCCTGATTCCCGCACTCGTCAAGGCCATCCAAAACGATGACAACACGATCCTTGCCCGAAGACCATATATCCTTCAACTCACACACCGGCTCAATCACCAGAGTCCTTATTTGTTTTTCCAGAGGGAAATTCTGAACTGAGGCCAAAGCTGGTTTCCGAAGGTGCCTGACAAGCGACAATTTGAAGTCCTCACTGAAGGATGCAAGTTGGTGGGCAAGGGTAGAGGGGAACTGTTCGATAGAATCCAAGCCCGTTCCGCTCTGGTTCTTATCCCAAAAGTATGACGCTGCTAGAGTACCCCGTTTCTCAAGAGTGGATGCGACACTCATAGAGATTGCAGTCTTCCCTGTTCCAGGAGAGCCCCTTAACCAAACAAATCGGCTCTCGGCGTTCTTCAGGTGTCTAAGTAGGGATTTTTGTATCTTGACCTGCGTCCCCGGAAGACACTCTGATTTGCTAGTCACACACGTGTACTCAGCTGGGACTCGCTTGAGTCTCGATAGCTCAGCTGGAAGTATCGGTGATTAGGGAATCTATAAGCACGCATATAGACACATACATTGAACAGATGAATGCTCGGTACGAAGCAAGATTAATGTCAATGATCTCAGCTGCGCAACCATGGTGAGTCAGCATTCGACAATTTGAGAAATATCCAGTATGCGAACCTCGAATCGATGAATGGCATTATTTAGGCAGTTCTTCATATTGGCTATTTGCTGTGTTATATCGGATGCTTGAATGGTCTTCTCGACGACATGTTTTTTCTGGACTGATCTAATGTTCTTCATTTGTCTTTGCAAAGACCTACGAAGAAAATGAGTAACTGTGAACAAAGGGAGGACGAGGTGCATACACGCAGATTTCCTGCACTAGGGACTGTAGCTCAGGAGGAGTTTCTCCAGTCCATTTCCGGAGGGGCTCAACCACGGATTCTTGTGCTTGCTGGATCACGATGCACAACTGGTCGAGTTCCTCGGTGTTGCCGCTGACATTCTACATGTATACAACAGGTAGTATGGAAGCGATCAAGATCAAGATCATCAAGACGATTCACAAACCTCGTAGATTTGAATAAACCTCAGAAGCGTGTTTGGGATCTGATCAAGATTGGGGATGGGAGCGAATTTGAGACCAGCGGCCGCAGTTTCGAGAAGTAGTTTGGTGGTGCCGATGATCGTTTTCTTCAGATCGCCATCGGATCTACGAGGCACTGATTCCGCTGGCACCGATGAGACTGACGGTCCAGGCTCTTGTTGCATGTGGACGCTCGGGTCATCGTTGCCAGTGGCAAGTGCGTTGCCCATCACTCGTTGGAAATTGATGTTCACTTCGGCGGGAGGGGACAGCGATGGCCGTGAGTCATTCGTGGATGTCTGGATGGGAGTAGTTGGCATAGAATGTTTGGATTGGGATGTGCTTGATTGATTGGGATGACTGGAAGCGGGGCTGGGACTGGGACTGGGACTTCTCCGGAATAGCCTAAGTAGCTTGTCTCGAGAAGATGTCCGTTGCTCCGTGGTATCATCCTGTAAGGTGGCACCAGGAAGTAGAAGAGCGGGCGCTGTAGTGGCAAGGGCACCAGAACGCAGTCCTGCGGGGCTGCCGTGGTCTTTGTCGTTCGTTCTGTCATGTGCGATCGCAGACCCGATGATCTGGTTGTTGGAGGTAGGGATAATTGAGACCTGCGACCGATCATCAGTAGGATCGGAAGGGTGCTGTCGCTTCTTGAACCAGGGGAGAAAGCGGTGGGATTTAGGATCACTGGGCATGGTGTCGGTGTGGCTAGCGATCAGAACGGTATGTGTTGAAGGAGGCGTTTGGCAGCAGGCCGCCCAGCTATCCTCATATCATATATGTGTCAACTGGAGGCTGCTCGCCCTTAGTGGACATAACAGGTAAGGCAACGTGGGCCACCAATAGTAATCAATGAATCAATCGTTCACCTCCTCCCTTGCTTGGAAACAACCGTGCACGTGCACGGCCGGGCTGGCCTAATAAACAGCGTAAAGGTTCACGCAAGCTACTGGGTAGAGTTGGAGTGGACCAAGTCCAAAGGCAACATTGCGCACTCACAAACCCTAGCCATCTTGTGCCGCGATGCACGCACGTAACCCTGATCCCTGAGCCTGGACCGTGTGGATTCAACAGAATGGAAGTCGGCGTGTGAGGCAAACGGCTACCATTCGGGAAGCTGGGTTTTCATTGAATTGGCTACTTGATAGCAATAATCGCTCAGCTTGCAAACAGGACATTCAACACGAATATGCTGCCTGACGTGACTCGGGGAGTCGTCCCGGTGGGCATAAAGGCCTAAGCTACTTAGCTCACGAGCTACTCGATAGAGATGAAGTGACCTGATTATCTCCCTTGCCAACTGTATGTACACGCGTAACGTCGAGCCCTCAGCTTAGGAAATGCATGCTTCTACTTTCATGGAGCACCCAAGAATGGGAGACGGGATATGTAGAGGGGAAATCAGTCTAAGGCCATCATGAGCAAGAACGCTTGAACGGTTTTTTCAAGAAATTCACGTGATCCCGACATTGCGGAACTTCCCGTGATACTCCTTGCGCGTCTCCCATCAGATAACTATAGGAGTGTCCTCTACCGTCTTTTTTTTTTTTTTATCTCGTATTTTTTGTTCATCAACCCTCCGTGGAGTCATGCGATCATTCCAGCTACCAGCCGCTTTCATCCCAGCCTATATTTTATTCCAGCGTCCATAATCGAGTCTAAGGCGATCGAGCGACCCTACAACCAAACTAATTCCTCTCTCCATGTCGAAAGTTTCAATTCCTGAGCAATACATATTCGGTCTACATCAAAGACGACGATCTTCAGATAGAACGTCCGTACAATTTTCTGGGGTAGTAAAATGGTTTTCTGGATTAAGCGGCATGCATAAAAGCGGAGAGGTTGAAAAGTGGTTGCGTTCCAAGAGAATGACTGGGATGGAAGTAGGCGGTTACGCGCCTTTTCTCGCCGACAGTTGATGTCTGAGGCTGGGCTATGTCATGAATTTCATGCTGCGTAGATCTCTGGTGGTTCTTCCAGCTCCTTCACCCCTTTCTGCCACAGCGATGTTGTCGAATACTCCACCACTTCTGAATCCAAGGCCTAGTACTGTTATGCGCATAGTGAGCTGGTGCATACGTACGTTTAGGCCATTTTCATTGTCCGACGAGTTTGGCAGTGCAGCGCCGGTGGCTGGGGCGGCGTGTTCATAGAGCCGAGCTTATAGCTTCAGGAACAGGGAGAGCCAAAGAGCGAAGATGGCTTCTGTAAAAAGCCTTTTTCGCCCGCCTGTTGAGGACAGACTGGATCGGAGTCTCGATGCGGCTTATAACGTAGTAATAAGTGATGTCAAGACGTCATGTCTCCCCTCGTCAGCCTCATATATCGTCTGGGTCCTCAAAAGTAGCTTCCATCATCTCCTAGCTCCGATGGGGCGAGCAGGCCTTTCAGTGTCTAGACATATCTGAACTGCGAACCAACGACACTCGGAGGTTGGGGGACAGTGCGACGTCTAAATTAGAGTCTAAACCCGCGGGGTTACGTATACTAGGCAAGCCACCTGCGCCACACGAACAATATATGGCTCCACTACTGTATTCCGACATCCCCTTTTGGCTGTGGCGTTGTTATACCATTGCTAATCTAAGCGCTATGTTATATAATGTTAGCGAACGCAAATTGCAAACCGGACAGGTGAAATTAGCTAAGACATGCCCAAGTCGATCGGCAGCCGAGCGCATCTTCCACTTATTTCTCACCATTATGCTGTGTCGAATCGTATCCAAACGGCTACACCTTACTATTATATCGTGCCTAGCCTATCCTTCCCTAAACCAGGTATACCAGCAGGGCATTACTACATACTATATATTGTCATGGCGGGTCTGTGCCTGTGGGATTGTACGGCCTGGCGTCCAGGTGCAGCCATTGCACCACCTGCCGGCTGTCATAATCGAGAAGTTAGTGGTGATCTTCTTCCAACGTGAGTTACATAACACTTGTACTGATTTGAAAATGAATCGAACGAAGCGGGGGTGCTACTTAACACTTGTGTGGTTCTACAATGAATCGAAGTAGCGAGGGAAGCTTGCAGCCCAGGCAAGCGTCACCCTGTGTCATTTCGGGACCCTTGGACGGGAATGGACATAGAATGCTCATAGAGATGTTTCCAATGACTTGATCGGGTCCCTTGCTGAATAACGAGCAAGGGAAGGATTGCCAAATGACGGGAGCATGCTATATATATATATCCTTACATTCAAGGCATAAACGATGGACATGTTGAACTTCCCCGGCTGCGATCGAGAGCGGGAGGGAACATGCATGTGAACGAGATATTGTGGGCGCAAGCATCAGAGGCAAGTTAAATAAGTGGACGACCTCGTTAGCTGCCGAGCTGAGTAGAAACAAGTAGGGCAGAGTCGGCAAGAATGGTCGTAGTTCGCGTCCTTCAGCTCTCTATATATCCCAAATTAATCACTGGATCCGAGCATGGTGTGTACTAACGCGAGTTGTTGGGAAACTAGGAGACGGCATTGCTATGTCCCAAGGGGCGCTATTTCGTGTATGTGTGCACTGGTGGCAATATCCCTAAGGTGTACAATCAGATAATAATCGGCGGAGTCGGTCGAGTCCGTGAAAGCAGCTGGTGGCGCAAATGTAATTCATCAATTGATTGCGTAATCGCTGTTGGACTGCGGGTTCCTATTTTCCCGTCTTGATGACCTCACATGTAACTCGATGTAGATTACAGTAGGGGTAGCCGCACTGTTGCGTCGTCACGCGACCGCGGGGTAACAAATCAGAGTACAACAACAACCACTTCTGCTAACACGCTTAACGACGAGGAATGATCGACAAAGTCCACCATTTTATGATCTCACTTGCTTGGGTGCATTTGCATTGCAACACTATTTTCTTCAAAGTGTATATATCATGTACTATTTTTGTAACGTAGGTTTGAAGTAGTTGTACCTACCAATATTATCGGCGCTGGTGGTGACAGATATCCCATGGAGTACAGGACTTGAGACAAAGCACCAAAAGTAAGTACTAGATTCCCTGTCTATGTGTTTATGAGAGTCCATGTTGGAAGTCAAGCTCGAATCGTGTATTTACGGTTATTTACATCAGGTTAATAAACTTAGCGGTCTACTTCCATCACCTACCCTTGCTGGCGTAACCTCGTTTTTTCAACAGTCCAAGCGACAAACAACACAGTGCAGCAACTACAGCAACGAAAACCGAGCAAACACCACACTAAGCGTCCTCGATTGATGTTCTCGGCTAGCGGACTTATTCCGTAGTATCCATCTGAAGTTGACTCAGGGAGATGTATGGGGGACAGTAGTCGCTTCAGCGTCTCGATGGAGCTCGTGTCGATGATAACGGCTTAGGCTATCATACACCCACCCAAAACGCGTGCTCAACACTCGAGAATGTCTCACGAGGCCTTCAGACGTAACTTCCCTCTCGACCATTAATGCGCTTCGTGTGAATGAACCATCCCAGCGTCTTTACTGTGAAGGAGAATCAGTCATTGTCCACCCCCCACATGTCGAAGTGCCGCTTCTGCTGGGTGGAGGGAAGTGCTGGTGACGCTCAATATGCGTGGAAGGATACTCCGGCCAGGGGCGGAGGCCGTGTCGCTGCTTCCTGGGCTAGCCGGTGCGAAGGGAGAATGTGAGAATGAGAATCGAAATGACACCCAGAACGAGGCTGAGGCAAGGGGGTTTCACGCGAGGGAGAACATGATCCCGACAGCCCGACAGGGAGAGTTTCAACGATCATACCGTTTGTTAGGACTGCGTGCAAGAATCATATGCTTTCCAATACAACGGAACGGCGCCCAGCCTGAACTGACTGGCAAGACTGTTGCAGCCGGGGTCCGATTCAAATGATGCACGGGAAAGAATAACAATGTCGGGGTCGCTCACCGGTGGCGCATCTTGGTGAGCGTCTTTCAGGGGACCGATGCGGATTATCAGTGGATACACCAAGCCCACATCTCATAACGGTGGCAGCTCAAGCCGCTGGGCGAGTTGGAACACCGTTGTAGGTGTTAGACTATTTGTGCTGCCGTACGAGTTTGGTAGTGCTAGCGCGGATGGTTGAAGTAGCGAGCCTGGAGTAGGCGTGTTTGGCGTATTCACATTAGAAATTATGGCATCCGGAAACAGAGTGAAGGGAGAAGGCGCGTGCAGAGATTCATTTGGGCTCGTCTGAAGAGGCTGACCGAGAGTCCAGATGCTGATGCGGCTTAGTAAGTGGTCTCGAAACATCGTTTGCCGGCCGTCATGCAGGGAAGCATATTCTAAAAGAGATGTGTATCAATGCCTCGTCTCCCGCAGACCTTTAATGCCGCACTGATTGGCACGAGAGAGAACATGGCTCGCCAGGGTCGTCCTTGATCAGACGCCTGAACACTTCACCGAATGAACAATCACAGCGCGATTTGATTCATTGTAGTGTTCGCGTCAGCTTGAGTGCTACACAATTGATGCCATTCAGGGAAATTGTTTCAACCGAGGATAGGGCAAACGGTCGCGGAGCAGGTCCATTTCGAGATGTGGTCCATGTAGACAATGAACACACGGTGGTAGGAGGCGCGTCACATAGTTATTGTCGGAACGCAACAAACTGGTTATGTAATCGCCAATCAAAACTGTGCCCCCAACGCCACCATTTTATGACTTCGCTCCACTACTGGCACCCTGTTATATATAAGATCAACGTCGTCTTGCGCCTTAGCATTTCTTTCCGGCTTGGATTTCAAGTGCTCCGTATTTTCGAGAATGGTTGCATCCTACCGGCGACTCTCCTCCCTCCAAGCTTCAGTATGAGTACGTACTGATACATGAGGACGGCCATCCTTTTATAACACCCTGGGTTGGCTTTGATTAACAGGGAGGGTTGGGCGTGGAAATCGCACTATGCGCTCTCAAACGAACCGAAATTCAAGATTTGCGAGAATTTTCTCGATGGTTCCAGCTTTTGTTGTTCCTTCGCCGCTCTAATCACTGTGTCTGGAAATTCTGGGGGTTTGAAACAACTTGACTAATGTCCACGACAATCGGGGCCCGCGAATATCCCTGGACCAGAAATCGAGTCCCATCCCTGCTGGACTGAGGGCGGTAAAGCCTCAGAGGATCATATGGCACTCGATGACCGTACCAGGCTCGCTGGGAATTGATCGGTTGATAGTTGGTTGGGAGCATGAGTTCATCTCTGCCATTAAGCCACAATGATAAGTGAAAGGAACTATAATCGATTAGTGGGGTTCTCGATGCGATGGGCAAATTGCAAAGCGGGACCCTTTTCCCTGAGTTGCTTGGCGAGAGGTCGTAAAATGGGCGCTTGATCCAGGACTCATCAGACTCGTCATGCGCGTCGGAATGATGCACACAAGTTGTGTCGCCTTCTGCCAAGGGAAGGGTGGCTCGAGTGAATATAGGATCGGGGATGGGATATGAGGGTGTCGGAGGGACATTGGGATTAATAATCCAACAAACAAAGTTTGTCACCCGATAACCTGCAATGCACTGGCATGATTCCGTTGACCAGGTAATGGCCTGGGTCCCATCAAAGGCACCAACATACCGCCCTCCTGGAGAGAAACCAAGCGTCCGACGGTGCGGAATGCTTAATTTCTCATTATCAAATTGAGAGGATGGGGAGAAAGGAGGAGATGCGAGAGGCTGAATAGATGGAACCTCCGAAACAGATATAAGCATCATGTTGTCATACCAAGGGTTGTTGAGATTTCGTGGGACTCGCACGACAAATAATCCGTTATCTGAGGCTGTGGTTCCAGCTGGATAGGGACCGGTGGGAAGAGTGCCAAGATTCACAGGGGTCATACCATCGCCAAGGATCATTACATTCCCGTCATTATCCTCAGTGGCGACTCGGTGGCTGCCGTGGACAAATTCAATCCAGGCTGGAAGATTGGCTGGACTGTGCTGCAATCGGCAGATCGTGAGCTGGTGGTCAATATCAGCCACTTCGATAATTCCGCTGCCAAATCCAAGTGCAACATAGCGACCATCGAAGGAGAGTGCAGCACATGTCACAGTGCCATTGCGAACATCGGGTTCATGGAATTCAGCTTCATAATTGATTACCTTATCTCCCCATTCATCAACCTCTTGTAGTTCACTCAACTTTGCCTGGGCCCTAAGCAAATCCTTGCTTAATGGGATGGTGCTACCAGAGAACTCGCCGAAAGTGGAGAAGATCCAGACAGGATCAGTGAGATGGCCATATTGTTTGTAAAGGGGTGATGAGGGTGGGGTGAAAGGAAGCTTTGATCGATAGAGACGCCATGGTGCAGCTGCAGCAGTGGAAGCTAGCTCATCCAAACACCTCAAAAGTTGGATTGAATTGTGATTCTATCAAAAATGACATCAGACAAGCATCGGATGAATAGTTTATACTTACACTGGATTGAAATAACTCATCAGGAAATAGCCCAAACGTCCCGTAATCATTTTGCAGGTGCATGAAAGTCAGGACGTATTGTTGGGTGATGAAGGAATTAAACTCGTTCTGCAATTCATTGGACTCTTGTGAAAAAAGTTGCGAAGGGTCCAAGTGGTCGAGTAAGTGTTTAATAAAATAGGAGAAGCGCCAGCGATGAACTTCCTTTTTCTCCATAAATTCCTTCCATATTCTTTTGCCTCCTAAAGGGGGATTCGTAGGTATTCCAAATGCATCCTGCTCACAATAATTGATGAAGAGTCGAAGGAGCGGCACTCCCATGAAATACCCTTTCACATCATCAATGAAGAATACTTTGTCCTTCTTATCACCAATTGGTTCCCCCACGATAAATTCTTTTGCCGTTGCATGATATAAGGTGACATCCTCTGTGTTCTCTAAGGGAAGATTGACGATGGAGCTGATTGGTTCCAATGTCGCACGGATCTCATCTTCGCCAATGTTGAAAAGCTGTGACATAAAAGAGACGTTCATCGGCTCATGCGCCGCGACAATCACGCCAACCACTAAGTGATACTTCTCAGCTACATCTGGGTGAATTTCAGATGAATCCGGCATATAGGCTTGACGAAGTATCCGCAAGTACTCCTCCTTGAGGTTGGCAGGCAGTTTATGGTGGTTAAGCAAGTCCTTGAACACCAATTGCAGGGTGCGACCATGTCTACTCTGCTGGTAGACATAACGAACACGGATAGATGCCATAATAGGCAACCCACGACAAGCCCAAGCGAAAGCGTCGAGTTCCTCCTCCTCTGGCCTCCATGAATATTTGTCAAAGAGGTGCTGAAGGCCTTCTTCCACCATACAGCGGACTGTTTGGAAAGTTTCTTCCACTACAACCTTGTCCAGATCTTCACATAGTATGACATGACCCTTGGCCCGAGCTTTATCCCAAGCTGAAATGACTCCTGGCTCAGGACGACAACTAACTAGCACAGAAAATATCGGTGGCAGCTCCTGAAAGGCAAGCACTAGTTCCATCAGTGACTCGAGTCTCTCCTGGTCCCCGCACTCATCAAGGCCATCCAGGACGATAACAACACGATCCTTGCCCAAAGACCATATGTCCTTCAAGTCACGCATCGGCTCGATTATCAGAGTATTAATTTGTCGTTGCAGAGGGAAATGCTGAACAGAGTCCAAGGCCGGTCTCCGAAGGTGTTTGACGAGCGAAAATTTAAAGTCCTCGTTAAAGGATGCAAGTTGGCGGGCAAGAGTAGTGGGGAAGAGTTCGATAGAATCCAGGCCCGATCCTGTTTGGTTCTTGTCCCAAAAGTATGATGCCGCCAGAGTGCCCTCTTTCTCAAAAGTGGACGCGACACTCATAGAGATCGCAGTCTTTCCCGTCCCAGGAGACCCCCGTAGCCAGACAAACCGGTTCTCGCCTTCCCTTAGGTGTTTGATTAGGGATTCTTGTATCTTGACGCGTGTGCCTGGAAGACACTCTGATTTGCTCGTCACACAAGTGTGCTCGGCTGGGGCCCGCTTGAGTCTCGATAGCTCAGCTAGAAGTGCCAGTCATTAGGCGGTCTTAATACATGTACATAGATGCATACAATGAATCGATAAACGCTCAGTGCGAAGCAAGGTTAAAGTCGATATCCTTAGCTATGACGGACATGGTTAGCCAGGATTGAATTATTCAAACAAATCTTCAAGCGTGCAAACCTGGAATCGACGAATAGAATCATTTAGGCAACTTTTCATATTCGTTATTTGCTGTGTTATATCAGGCGCTTGAATGGTCCTCTTGACAACATGTTTTTTCTGGACTAATTCAATGTCCTCTACTTGTGTTTGCAACGCACTACGAAGAGAATGAGTGAATGTGAAGGAGAGGAAGACGAGATCCGTACATGCGGAATTCTTGCACTAGGGTCTCTAGCTCAGGAGGAGTTTCTCCAGTCCATTTCTGGAGGGGCCCAACCACTGATTCTTGTGCTTGCTGAATCACGATGCATAGCTGGTTGAGATCCTCAGTGTTGCCACTGACATTCTGTAGTAGGTAGTATGGAAGCGATCAAGATCATCAAGACGATTCACAAACCTCATAAATTTGAATAAATCTCAGAAGCGTGTTTGGGATCTGATCAAGATTAAGGATGGGAGCGAATTTGAGACCAGCGGCCGCAGTTTCAAGAAGTAGTTTGGTGGTGCCGATGATTGTTTTCTTCAAATCGCCATCGGATCTACGAGGCACTGATTCCGCTGGCACCGATGGGACTGACGATCCAGGCTCTTGTTGCGTGTGGACACTCGGGTCATCGTTACCAGTGGCAAGTACGGTTCCCATCACTCGTTGGGAATTGATGTTCACTTCTGCGGGAGGGGACAGAGACGGCCGTGAGTCGTTCGTGGATGTCTGGATGGGAGTAGTTGGCATAGGATGTTTTGATTGGGATGTGCTTGATTGGTTGCGATGACGGGGACTGGGACTTCTCCGGAATAGCCTAAGTAGCTTGTCTCGAGAAGATGTCCGTTGCTCCGTGGTATCATCCTGTAAAGTGCCACCAGGAAGTAGAAAAGCGGGCGCTGTAGTGGCAAGGGCACCAGAACGCAGTCCTACGAGGCTGCCGTGGGCTTTGTTGTTCATTCTCTCATGTGCGGTGGCAGACCCAATGATCTGATTGTTGGAGGCAGGGGGAGTTGAGGCCTGCGACCGACCATCAGCAGGCTCGGAAGGGTGCTGTCGCTTCTTGAACCAGGAGGGAAAGCGGTGAGATTTAGGATCGTTGGACATGGTGTCAGTGTGGCTAGCGATCAGGACGGTGTGCGTCGAAGGAGGCGTTTGGCAGGCAGCTGCTTTCTTATAATATATGTGTCAACTAGACGTAACAGGCAAGGCAACGTGGACTGCGCATGATAAACAGCGTAAAGGTTTAAGCTACTCGGTAGAGGTGGAGTGGACCAAGTCCAAAGGCAACATTGCGCACTTGAATACAGGCCCTAGCCATCTTGTGTAATGATGCACGCACACAACGCTGAGCCCTCCGAGGCGAACGGTGACCATTCGGGAAGCAGAGTATTCATTGAATTGGCTGCTTGATAGCAATAATCGCTCAAGCTTCCTTGCTTGCAAATTGAAACAGGATACAAATATGTGCCTGCCTGACGTCATTCGGGGAAATCGTCCCGGTGGACATAAAGGTGTAGGCTACTCGGTAGAGATGGCGGAGACCAAGTTCAAAGACGACATTGCGCACTCGCATACAGGACCATCACCTCCGTTGCCAATTGTACGCGCACACGTAACGTCGAGCCCTCAGCCTAAGGCGTGCTTCTACTTTCATGGAACACCCAAGAATGGGAGAAGGTAAGGAATTAGTCTAAGGCAATAATGAGCAAGAAAGCTTAGGCGGTTTGTTGGATTGAACCCATACGTTGCTTCAAGTCGTTGGGCCTCCAAACGGATTCACCAGACTCCTTCCCAGTCGCTCACATGATCCGGACATTACGGAACTTCCCATGATACTTCCATGGGCGCCTAATTGTCTTTCGTATTCTTTGCTCATCAACCCTCTGCGGAGTCATGCGATCTGCCAGCCGCTTTGCATTTTATCCCTGCATCCATAATTGAGTCTAAGGGGAGCGGCCCTGCAACATTATTCTCTCCATGCTGTTGTAAACGCGGCGTTCCATATATGGCAACCCGCTTCAGCGGTTCACTCGCAACCCGGATGTAATATAGAAATGAGAAGAAACTGTAACTAACTAAAGAACATACGGTGCTAAAGCACCCATATTTATACTCCTGAATAACATTCCAGGCTCTTCTATGCCCAGCGCTTACGCAGGCACCTAGTAACCCCTAGAATATTCTCGGATATTCCGGTTCAATCTAATCATGTGACTCGTATTCCAACACATGCCGCAAGTTTCAGTTCCTGAGGACTGACATTCTTTTTTTTTTTTTTTTTTTTTTGGTGGAACCTCAGTAGCTTCCGCTGTGTCTGGTGACATGTTGAGGTTTATTGGTAGGGGCGTGCCCTGGTGGATGGGTGGGTCGTTCGTGTTGGGTTGGGTCTATCTAGAGCTGCCACCGCAGGGAAATGCATTTACGCACTGTGGCATTGCGTGCCATGTGGGGCTTGCACTGACCCTGGAGGGTTGTCAGAGACGGGATTATTGTCGGAGTCGGGCAGACTGTCAGAGTCGGAACACTGTCAGGAGGTGGATAGAAGACGGATTGGGTTCTGTCTGAGTTGAGGTCAGAGGTGATGCAGAGGTCTGTTGGAGCGCGCGCGCGGATATGCGGGCGGAAATATGCGGCGCGTCCGGAAGTGCTGTTCAAGGTTAGCAGAGTGGGATCGCGGCCTCAGCGACTCAGGTGGAGCGCTGTGCCCTGAGCTTGACGTTTGGGGGAGATCCCATATTTACAGACTGACACTCACAGCAGACTTCAAACAAGACTTGCAGGCAGAGCGGACCTGTAGGAGGAGCGCAGACTCCACGAGCACGGACTCAGAGGGGGGGAAGCCCCCTTTGCAGAAGGAGAGACTCAGACCAGACAGGGGGGTACTCTAGTTGATTTCAGACTGAGGTCCCCGAAAGTATTTACAAAGTATAAGTAGGTAAGGGAAATCAAAAGAGGGTCCGGTCGGTCCGGTGCGGAAATAAGCGGAAATGAGCGGGGACTTGTCAAACTAAACCAAGGACAAGAACCTGGGAAATGGGAAGCAAGGAATGAATAAGGTCAAAGCGGATCAAGTACCAATATTGACAGATTAAATGAATGAATAGGAAAGTGCAATAGCACACGGATCAAATGCCAATATTGGGGTGAACATAATAGGCACTCGGCAGGGAATGAATGTTATGTTGCTGAGTGACACAAATGGCCAGAGGACAAAAGCGGAGGTCAGCACGCGGCACCGATACAAGTCTGCAAATAAGCGGGGTCAGTGCGGTGCCGACACAAGTCCGCAAACAGATGTTGATCTGCCAGCACTGTCACACAAGGACAGCATGAAGGCCAACAAAGGTACAGAGGGGAGTGGGAGTGTTGACCTGACCAGAGGTGTCAAGGGCAACCAGAAGTGGCCAGAGGGTGCAGAGATGGCCAGAGGGTGCGGAGTGCATGGAAGTGGGGCATGGCTGTGACCACATAGCGGGAAGTTGTTAGAACCGGGCGGATTCGGACGACTCCGGAATGGAATCGGAGACTTATCATGGAAGGACCTCGGCCTCAGCGACTCAGGCGGAGCGCTGTGCCATTGCTGGTTGTCCTGGGGGTCCCTAATTTCGGATCTAGCAGAGGGAAAGTCTCTTGGGGGGGAATTCCAGTCGATTTCGGACTGAGGTTACAAGTTACTAGGTACATTGTATATAAGGAGGGGTCCGGAATCAAAAGGGACAAGGGTAGGACAAAAGGAGACAAAGGGAGATGGAAAGAGGAGCAACACCGAGGGTCAAGTGTTTGACTCAATGGTGTTTCCCAAAGGAGGAATGAAGGGCCAAGGCCCAAGAAGGAAGGAAGGAGGATGGGAGTCGGGAATGGCTAGCTGACTGAATAGAAAGGAAGCAGCAGCCCAAATAGGAATGAGGGAGAATAGCGGAATTGAAATGGACAATGCAATAGTTGCAAGGTCCGGAGTAAGTCCGGAAAGTCCGAACTCGGAGGTTAAACTCCGGAATATTGGCAAAGGTAATTAAATGGAATGAGCTAACCAATACAATGGGTATAAGCGGAGGTGGGGTCAAAGTCCGAGGTCGGAGCTAAGACCGGAGGTTCCGGGGACGAGACGTGAACGGGATACCGGAGCGGAGGTCCGGAGTCGGGAGCATAGGTTTTGCGTACTCGTCTGGAAGGTGTCGAGGTTGGGGTCGGACCCGGAATGTTCCGGAGTCGGACCGAAGGTGGTGTTGGAGCCAGAGGTGGGATAACCTCTTGGGAGTCGGCAAGGAGAAAGTGACGGAAGGGAAGTAGGGCTCCGGAAGTCGGAGTTCGGAGTTCCAGGAGCCCGGAGCGGAGGTCGGGATTGTATGGATATGACAGAAGTGATGAGTGTGGTTCAGATGGAGACAAGGCAGGCATGACTGTATGCCGGGAGCGCCAAGGGCTCAGGAACTGGAGGTAAGGTCGGAATACCGGCAGGGTCTAGGTTCTGATTATTGGCCAAGTCTCATGCAGTAAGGCAGGGGGCCAGACATGGGGTTGGGGGCTGGTTAGGATGGGTTTCGGGTCGGCAGATTCGCCTATTGGCATTGGTTCGCCGCTGATGGAGCCCCGGGATTTGTTGGTTGTGACAAGGGTCAGGAATACCCACTAAAACCCTGCTGCTCTTCAGCCAGTCCTCAGGTAGACCCGCTTCATTTTGGAGGGTGCCACTCCAGGTGCCCAGTACAAGCTGTTCCAGGAGTGCTTTTTTGCCGTATCTTTTGGCGTTAGTTAGGAGGATGTCTTGTCTTAGTCTTTCGTTTAGGGCTTGTCTTAGAGTAGCAATGGCCATTTTTTTGCTCACGAGGATCTCGCGTTCATGTGTGCTGTTCATGACGCGGTTACATCTTAACTTCCAGGTCTGCCAAGCACCTTCTGATATTAAGATTGTAAGGAGGCAGGAGGCGCCGATTCTGGTGTTGCCTCTTCTGTCCTTGAGTTTGGTGAAGGGGGCTGCCATGACATGTGTTGAGTCCATCCTGTTTGGCCAGGTTATGGATCTTCTCGCACATAGCTCCTCGATGGATCTCCATATGTGTGTGCCTTTATTATGGGGGCACTCGAACAGGATGTGGTCCATTGTCTCAAGGTTGTTGCATCTTGTGCACAGTCCGCATGGTTCATAGCCCTGTATCTTGGCCCAGTAGTGGCCAATTTTATGGGCGTTGTGGATTATCTTCCATATGAAGACTCTTATGTTAGGGGGGAGGTCTCTTCTGTTCTTGTGCAGCAATGTCCACATTCTGCTATTTGTGGGCCTCTCCCTGCTTATCATGTTTAGGGTGTTTCTTATGTGGTCTAGGTTCTCAGCTGTTTTCATCTTTAGGGTGGTTGTGGGCTTTAGCACTGTGCGTATTATTAATTTGAGGGCTTTTGTTTGGGTAAGGCTCAGTAGTTTGGCACCATTTGGGCATCTGCTGTGGTTGCTCGTTTCTTCCGGGGCTGGGGTTCCGGGGGCATTGGCGCCTTCTGATGCCAGTCTATCAGCTGCGTTGTTACCTTCTATCCTGCTGTGGCCTTTGATCCATTCTAGGGACGTTACCCTCGGTCTCGCTCTCAGTGAGTTGACCATTGCTTTTATGACTTTCGCGTGGTGGGATAGGGCATAGTCACTGTCTTCCAGGCTCTGAAGGCTCGGGCCTAGGGTGTTTATGCACCAGTCAGAGTCGGTTTTGATGTGGAGTCTAGCATTCAGGGGGGCTGATTCGGCGGCAAGTTTAATGGCCAGGATTTCTGCTGTGTTGTTTGATTGGGTGTGGTTAGTGTTCACTGGGTGGCTCGCGTTTCTGGGGTCGTTGGGGCTGAACCATACTCCGTATCCAGCTTTGGTGGTGGATTCTCTGTTGTTGGCACGTGGGCCGTCAGTGAATACTATTACGTCTGTGGGGCTGCCAGTGTGGGCAGGGGTTGCCCTTTGCTCTTCTGACTCAGGCGTCGATTGTCTGAATATCCTGTAGTTTTCTGTTATGTGGATGTCCTCGGGTCTGGGAGGATCGAATATAGTGGCGTTGTAACGGGTCTATCGCCTAGACTCGAGACAGAGAAAGGGGGGAGGGTGGTAGTGAATGCGTGTGTGATGGAGGTTCAGTTCTTTGGGTCCTGGGGTGCTAGCGGGTCTGTTAGAGCCTCAACTCAACACTCACCTACGTCTCTCTTGGACGTCAAGGCCGAGGGTTATGAGGAAAGGGGTCTCAGATGTAAGCAAGTAACTCAGGGGAGGCGTTAGAGTCATGGATGGCGTCTTTGCCACTTGGATGCAACTTCTGCTTTCTCTTTCACGGGTCTATTCAATACTAACTTGTTATGTACAAGCTGTTATCTAGTTTATATATGTTGGAAATGGAATGAATGGACTGGGGGAATGTAACCGGGCCATTAGGCAACCGTAAATGATGAATATCCAATTGGGAACAAAGAAACAATAAAAGAAATATGAATGAA